TTCCTTTCTTCCATCTCTACGTATATCTCAGGTACAGTGTTTCTGGCTTGTAGCTTTGATATTCCTTTAAATTTCTTTGGCTTTGCTTCTCTTCTTCTTTTTCCTGTGATGGTCAAGTTAACGGACTTGACTAGTTTGGTCTTGCCTGAGTTGTATATTAAGGAGGAAGAGTTTGATGAGGCTTTCGACGTGCTTGATGACTGCACAGTGGGTCCGGCTATATAGGAATACCTTGCTAGTCGTTGTGGGGAAGGCAGTAGTGTTTCCCCACATCGATCTTTAGTTCATGGGGTTTCGAAGTTGCCCCATGGTAATATCCTTGAGCTTCTGGGTTTGAGTGAAGAGGAGATTCAACATCTCTTTCCGGAAAGGGCTTTGGGACCTGTGGTTCCGTATTCTGGTGAGGCGTCTGGTTCCCGTCTTAATGGTAGGCGCCAGGTGGTGGCTGGTGAGAGCGCTTCTAGATCTGGTAGGCGCCAATCTACTGGGTCTAGAAGGCGACGATCTAGTGGGTTAGGTGAAGGGGTTGGGTCTCGCCCTTCACGGAGGAGTCATTCTTGGTCTTCTGGTCGTTCTCATGATCAGAGGACTGGTTCGCGTCGCCATGTCTCGCGGCGTTCAAATTTTGGGGCAGGGCGACTAGTTCGGCCTTTATCCTCTATTAATCGCTTGCCGCAGAACCGTCCATTAGAGTATTGTTACAAGCCTCACCTCTTAAGGACAACTCGTCCGAGTGTTATGTCTCTGGTCGCCTTGTGTACCTCTCGTGGCCATATTCCCAACATTTTCCAGTCCTTCAATCACCGTAAATATGGCGAATCCATTGACAACCATTTAGGTAGATACCACCCAGAGGATGGTAGGCTTACAAGGTATGGCGTGTGGGATGCCATTTATGAGGACCTGGGGCTGTATAAAATACCGCCTGCGTGGTGGCCTTCCTCTTTAAGCTATTCAGATTTTTACACATCAAGCTCTTCGGAAACCTCTGACTCTTCTGGTAAGTTTCTTATGTTTGAGTTGCTTTTTGATTGAGTGATTGGTGAGGGAATGCCGGTGCCCGGGGAGTAGGAGTGGGGTGATATGGAGGATTTGGAGTTTGACTCTTTGTTGATCTTCTTGGCGTCGGTTGAAGTGTTTGGCGATTGACTGTGTGTTTGTCGCTCCCAGGTCTAATTTGTGGGTATTCTCTTGACTAATGGCGGTTGCACACGATCACGAACGCTTCTTGGCGAGGGATTGGGTAGACCCTATAGTGGCGTCTTCTTCTTCTTGTTATACTAGTGGGTAAGAGAATGAGAATAGAAGTTTATAGTTTTCCCACAGACGACGCCAATGTACCGTTGGGATCTATAAGCCCACTATGTTCCCTTTGGGGATGGAGTCACTGTATGAATAATACCCTTAGCACAGGTAATGACCAAGCTAAGTGATACTGTTCCAAGTATGAAGCAAGTAATCAACAATGGGGTAGGTGTGTGTATGTGTGACTCAATGTAAATGGGCAGAATAATGATACATAAGATGCCTCCTTGGTGTGTCCTGGGGACTTATTTATAGGGGAAGGTGAAGTGAACCTTGCGTGGGTTGGTGAGAAGGGAGTCAACCCTCCTCGGGATCCGCCTTGGTGGCAGACACTGCTGGGCGTGACAGGTGCTGTTATGATAGCAGCGATGCCCCTTGTGCCTGACGATGTCAGCATGGGACAAAGGGCAACTTCCTCTTCTGGTATCTGGGGCGGTCACATTTGGGGGTTAGGGTCCCAAGACGGGATATTTTGGTGTTTGCCCTTGGGAACGTCGCTGCGTTGGGGGATGAGGATGGCTAAGAGCTGGTAGGGCTGACATGAATAGGCTGATGAGATTGGGCTTGGACCTTTGGGCCGCCGTATTGTTGGGCCATCCGGAACGGTCTTCTAAAAAGAATTATTAAATAATGTAAGTATCAAAGACTTATTATCAAACTAAGTGGATGCCCTGTCATAAAATAATAATAATAATAGGTTTTATTGATTAATGACACTATCTTATTAAGAAAGCATGCATGAAATGTGTGCAAAATAACAAATTCCTTATACAAATTTGGAAGAAACCATTTGAGCCAAGCCACCGGTGATATTTAAGCATAAGAAAGAACCACCTAATTCAAGCGAAAGCCAATCAAATCAGACTAATAAAGTATGCTATCTATATAAGAGAAAGAGTTGCACTAAAAGGTTAGTGGACACTGATGCTACTGTATTTGTTGATATTAATTGTGATCCATGGAGTATAGCTAAAGAAGCGTAATCTTAAAGTAACAGAGTGAGAACAGAGTTAAATAATTAGTACAGTTAGAATTAAAAGGTAAAATATGTTATCCTGAATGTGAACGTTTGACTTAGTCTCCCTATTAATCAATACTAATGTCTAATGTCAGTGACGAAAGAAAATGCTACCTAAGGTGTTGAAAAATAGAACGCCGCACTTGGTTAAGGATTGGATGAGATTGAAACAATAAAATTTAAATGTGAGTGATGAAGTTCTTGTCGGAAAAGACTGGACTAAGCATAAAAGAAATAAATGGAAGGAAGTATAAACTTAATATTTTAAGATTTTGGATTAAGATATGATATCAGTGTTGGGTATGGCTCATACTTCGTATGCTGATGAAGGCCCTAATTATCGGGATCAGTAGAAAGGCAACTGGGGTTCCGCTCCCAAGTGAGCGGGCGGGCTGCCCCCAGGCCCGTAGAGGCTAGGTACTGTTGTGGGCCTCTGTTTTATTGTAATTTTCTTAGCAGTTTGGGCTTGGGCCCATGAATAGCTGCTGTTAGGGTTTTGTAATCCTATTTATATTTGCCTTGTAAACCGAAAGACTTGTAACGAGTGGCGGTGAGTGGCGGTGAGGTGAATATAATACAGACAAGCTGGACGTAGTAGCCTAAATTAGGTGAACCAGGGTAAATCGTTGTGTCTATTCTCTCTCTCTTTTTGTTTTCCGTTTTCAATTTGTGTGTTGTCGATTTCCAACAATCAGGTCCAAGGGAAGCTTATGGCATGGGACCACCACCAAGAGGTAACAAGGGAGTCCGACACCACATCTCAACTCAAAATCTTAAGACATTAGATTTATATGTTCTTCCACTTATATACTTTTCACTTAATCCATTATCAATTAATGTGAGATTTATCACACTTGAATATCTCAAGAAGATATATTTATTCTATATAAAGCAGCTATGAGCTTGGGTGGTGATGAAACTCAACTTGTGTTCTCTAGAATTCATGGTTCTAGTTGAATGATACTAATTTTCATGACCAGTTAAAGGGAGATAGAACGCAACTTGTGGAGTTGATTTAGGAGATGATGTTCTCACTTACGAAGATGGTAGTGGAGTGTTTTTGCATATATACCAAAGAAAGTAGTCTTCAGACAACATGATCATATTGGAGAACTTCATGTGAGTCAAAAATGGCTGTATTCAACCACTCAAATATGAGATGGGGTCAGTCTCACAACCAAAAAGACAAGAGTTAGGCCAAGAAAATAAACATTACTTGAGGTACCATTTAGTGTGTGCTTATATTAGGACGAATAATTACCATTGTTTTAAGGGGTCAGATCAGATGTGTGCAATGCCTCACACCGAATTCTTTTGGCATATTCAAATGGTCATCATTCATCAGCCGAACAAAATGTCCAAAGTCGAATATGGGAATATAAGACTGCCTTATTCCTTAAAACCCAATTAATAAACTTATCACAAAACCTTCCGTGACATTTTGGCTGGCTATAAATTAATAGAATTATAATTTTTGCATACTGATGTAAGTTATACTCTCAATCTTGACCAATAATCTTATTTATATCTAACGATTTTGATTTATTAAATATGTGAGCAATTAGATTCAACCAAATCAATAACTAAAATTTGATGTAAGATTTCTTATTTTTAAACCGGTGTAAGAATAATCTGTCCCAATTAAATATGGTGTCCAATTAATAAACTTATGAGTTTAGAATAAGATCATATACGGAACAAGATAACATAACCCAAAAAAAAAGAAAAAAATTCAAGGGATGCACGGATGAAACTAGTAATACAAAAGGTGCATTGGATGCTATTTAGAAATAGTACATACATAATAATATAGCACAAGTGGTTGAGTTATTTATGATTTTTTATGTTGTTAACTTGTTTGATGATTTTCTGTGTTGTTAACTGTTTAATTATTAATGCACAAGATTAATTTTTTTGTAATATCTATATTTAATAGGCATTAGTGCTGAATAGGCTCACAAAAAATTAATTATAATACTTTTTACGACTCGTGTTGTGTATTGTTTCACCTGTAATAGAGTTGGAAAAATCAAAGGTAAACAGGTTATTAGTCTTTATCTATTTCTGTTTGTAGGTAAAATTTTGTAAACTGATCTAGTGAGTACTAAAAATATAGTCTTGTACTGTATCTTAGAATTGTTTTGTGTCCAAAACTTGTACTATATTTTAAAAATTAAAAAATATAATTTTTTATATTATGTTATCTCTTATTTTTTTACCAAATCAATATATACCACCCACAGAAATTGTTTAATGATACATGATCCAACAAGTGGTTTAATACCCTCTCTTGTAACATTTGAAAGGCCGAGATGCTATGAAGCAGAGTCACTATATTGATTAGGTTCAATGGAATCAGTATTAAACTGCTTACGGTTGCAGTTGTTGAGTCTTTCTTCAATTTTAAAGAATAGGTCAAGAAATCATATAAAAGAAGAAGGACAGAAACATAGTAGACATGATATTGTACTTTATATCATGTGCCCTTTGTTTAATTATTTTATGCTTTTGCTTCATCTCAAACCACTAATTGTCATAAGAAGATAATTACTGTAGACTTTCTTCTTTTAAACGACTAATCATGATATGATTAAATATTTTCATGTGGCTATGATTAACCCAATATTTAGTATATAAAAGCCCTTTGATATGTTATATGGCATATACTATTTCAAACATGGGAAAAGTCCATCCCCAAGCATTACATTCTTCTGCTACTTGCAATTTCACTTCCAAGCAAGAGACTTTCACCCTATGGATGAAATCTCTGGTACTGAATGGAAAGGGATGTACTGTCTTTGATTCAAATGGCCAAATTGCATATCGAGTTGATAACTACAACTGCAGCTATAGAGATGAAGTTCAACTAATGGATCAAAATGGCAATATTTTGTTTACTATACTGAAAAAGGTAAACACATGTCACAATTATATGTAAAAGTATCCTAGAAGTTAAGAGTGTTTTAAGTTTTTCTAACTCAACATTAATACTTGCTTTTGTGTGTGTGTGTAGCAAATTAAGTTTTCAAGGCTTTGGGAGGGTTATAGATACCCTGCCACAAGGAATGACCACATAGGACCATGCTTTCGAGTTTGTAAAAATAATAGGATCTCAAGAGGGGGCTCAACTTACGAAGTTGAACTTGGATTGGACAAGAATCAACCATATACTCATAAAATAGAAAGCAGCACTTGCAAGTCAGCTTGCAAAATATCTGATGAGTTTGGAGAGATAGTTGCTGAGGTAAATTTTCTTACATCTTCTTGTTTGCAAAGTTTGGTAAAGAACTTATATGTTTTAGGGAAAATTACGTTTCTTACAACACGAGATAAAATTATTTCTTGCAATCTCAAAATGATGTCGTTTTGAAATTATAGAAGATAACTTTATCTAAACGTTAATCCATGTTTTAATTTTACATGAATTTTGTGTTTTTTTTTTCTATAAGCAGCTGAGGAGAAAGAAGTCATGTTGTGGAGTTGATTTAGGAGATGATGTTTTGACAATGGTGGTGGAGCTAAATGCAGATCTTCCTCTAATTATGGGGCTTGTTGTAGCTTACAGTCTTATTAACAGTAAAATGTAAGCATTTTGGAAGCAACAGAGTGCATAATGGTAATTGGCATCTTGAGGAAGTCTTTTAGCTTTACCAAATGTATTACTAAAAGACCCCGTTTTAAGATTAAGCTTTGGAAATGACTCTGGTGACTGTCATCTCTAACAATGATGTTCAATCTCAAAATGGCTTTGTTTTGAAGCCAAATACAATTCCACCTTATGTTATGCTTCCTCTTGTTCTTATTTAATTTTGGGGGAAAATGCTTCCTCTTATTCTATAACTCAGAAGCAGTGGCAGAGCTAGCAAAATTAATGAGTCAGGAACCATTAAATTTTATCTGAATTTAATGAGTCAAGTGGCGGAGCCACCCTTTTTTTAGTACCTAGAAACCACTTGATTTTGGCTGAATCAAATTTGTTATTCCTTTTTATTTTGTACTAACAATTATGAGATGTATCCGTTTGGGGATGATTCGGCGTTTGCAATTGGATTCCCTATTCTTCAATACTCTATCATCAAGTGATTAAGTCTCACACCACATGACTTGCCTTTAAGTTTTTTACTTCATATAATTTTTTTTAAATTGAAATAAAAAAATACAGCATTGTCCTACAAAGTTCCCACTTGCGTAAAGCTGTAAAGCCTAGACAATGGCCAGATAGAATAACAATATTTAAGCATACTTCTAGCTGATTTTTGTTTTAGTCCTTACTTGTAAGGTATATTACATATTATGTATCATTCATAATACAACATACTGTATTGATTTGAAAAACAACCGCATCATGTATATCCTATGCACATTTGATAAGAGAACCGTTTAGATAAGGCTACACTGCTAGTGATTTTACCAAAGATGATGTGCTACATAGCTTGAGGCTGCATTGAACAAATATACCTAAGTAGTTAAACAAAAACAAGTGAATTTTACTTTGTAGCTAAACTAAGTGGTACATGGGACGAGCTGATTTCATGTGGGCCAGGACTTCAAAGTTCTTTATTTAAAATGGAAAAAAAAAAAGGACAGAAGGAGAATTTGAAAAGAAGAGAATGGTTTAAGTGGAAGAAAATTTTTCCGTTTTAGGAAAAGATGCACCTAAAAAATGGTGCACCCGGTGTATATTAAAAAAATCCCCATGGGACACACTCCAGTTCCATTCCCTAGGTTACTTTTATGACAATTCAGTATATTTACTCCAAAGCTTTATCAGAGAATATAGTTGTATATTTTATGAGATAAAATTATTTTATATATATACAAAAAAGTGGATAGAATTTAAAAAGGAGAAAGAGAGAATAAAAAATAGATTTCACTTTTTTTTTTGTCTATACATGATATAATTTTCTTTTATGCAACATAAAAAAAAAATATTTTCTTAAATTTAAAGTTTAACAAAGCAATTTCAATTTCAATATATTTATAACGTATAAACACGAGGGTCTTTAACTCATTTAAAGTGAAAAGGGAATTTTTCTTCCCATTGATTTAGAAGTTAATTATCAAAATAATATAATGAGACATTTATCAAATATGTAGTGCAATACATAACTTGTGAAAAAGTCAGCGCACTTGTCATATATCACAACTTGCAAGTTGTGCATTGTAAGTCTCGCATTATCACCACGCACAACTTGAACGGCACATCTCACATTGCCGATTTGTAATGCATGTTGATTTTTATATAAATCTTGTTTCATCCTACACAATACATGAACACACACCCCTCTATTGAGAGCATTTTTTATGCTCTGGGACCATCATTGATTGAGTGGTCCTTTGTGAAAATAGAGAGGATAAAAAAGAAAAGAAAAATTAATTTTACAAGAGAAAGCACGTAATTTTGAATACTCCTGGACCTTAAAAAATATCTCCCCTCCTATCCGCTTCACACCATATTATTTTGGCAAAAAATATAAATTTTAATCAATAAAAAAAAATATTTCCCGATGAGCGAATTACTTACTGGCAAATAAGTAAAGGTGGCAATATGGATTGAATCATACGGGTCAACCCGCCAACCCTCTAAACGGGGCGGGTTGGGTTACAAATTTCAACCCACCAACCCGTCTCGTTGGGTTGTGGGTCAAAACAGGTTGGTGGCGTCGGGTCAATTTTTTTTTTTTACTATTAGGTAGTGTTTTATTTGTTTTTAAGCTTTTGTGATATCCATTTTTTTGTTATCTTAGTACTCTGTAGAAAAAATATAGAAGAAAAATTTTATTTATGACAAAGATAATTTATCTATAGAGATAAAAACAAGTTTGTAAAGAATATCTGATTAAATATTAACATACACTTAGACTTAAGATTGAAAAAAAACTAAGAGGAATGTGATATGAAAATAAGTAATATTATACTATTAATAAAATATAATTTATTTTTTATTTTTTATTATTTTTTATTTTTTATTTTTTAAGCGGGTTGACCCACCAACCTATCATAAAACGAGACGGGTTGAAATTTTCAATCCAAATTCAAGAGGCGGGACAGGACGGGTTAACTCACTTTTGACGGGTTGGCGGCGGGTCGGGGCGGGACGACCCGTTTTGCCACCCCCAACAAATAAGAGATATATGCATAATAAAATTAGAAGGAAAAAAAAAAACAACTAGGTATACCGTTTTGACGTGGCTGCTTTGGCGTCGTTTCACAAGTTAGTTGTCGTTGGTGTTTTCACTGAGATCTGTCTCTCCTTCTTCTAACAAACCCTAGTTGAACTTGCAATGCTATGCATGAAGCTTTTAGCTCTGAAAACCCTAACAAATGGTGGGACCCAAAAGGTACTTCCTGCCACTAATCATAATCTCCCTCGCCGCTTTCATCTTCTACACATTCCACCATTCCTCTCTCTCACCTTCAATCCCTGAATTCGACCCCAATTTCACTCTCCGAAACCTCAACCCTAATTCCACCCCCAAATTCACTTTCGTCATCAAAGTCCTCGCCTTTAACCGCCTCAATTCCCTCTCTCGGTGCCTCCGCTCACTCGCCGCCGCCGATTACAACGGCGACCGCGTCCACCTCCACCTCTACGTTGACCATTTCACCCTCGCTAACGATTCCTCCAACGTGGATCAGAAGCTTCGAGAATCGCATCGAATTGTGGAGTACGTTGATGGGTTCGATTGGAAATTTGGTGAAAAGGTGGTGCATTACAGAACCGGGAATGTGGGTTTGCAGGCACAGTGGTTGGAGGCATGGTGGCCCGGTTCCGATCACGAGTTCGCTTTCGTGGTTGAGGATGATTTGGAGGTTTCGTCGCTTTACTATGAGTTCGTTAAGACCTTGATTTTGAATTTCTATTACAATGCTTCCAATTATAGCCCTTCCATCTATGGAGTTTCGTTACAACGAGCAAGGTTTGTTCCAGGTACCATTTTTCTAGTTTTATTTATTTATTTATTTTTTCTTTAAAGTTTGCCACTTGAAATGTTAGTACTCAGTGGAGGTTTTTGTTGAAGTTGGTGAAGTTTATATATTAGAGGAATCTGGTTACTTCATGTGTGAACATGACGTGTTGTTTTGTTGCTTTCAAGGATGCTTCTATTAGTAAACAAAACATTCAATTAGATGTATCATGTATGATTGGCTAATTGTCCACTATTTCTCTGATATTTGAATGGAATTACTTAGCTGAAGTTGTCTAACATTTTTCAAATACTTGGGGAAGGAACTAGGAAGCTGCTAATGCATGCAGTTTAACAACTGTTGGATCCGGCGATTGTACTGGTAGTAGGATCATGCATTGATGATAGTTTTTTTTTTTTTTTTTTTTTAAAGATAAGAACTTGGTGCTATGAAAAGCTGATGTTTTAATGGAATGGAGAACATGGGGTTGTCTGTGTTACTGTTCGTTGCTAGTATTCAGGATTTTGGTTCTATTCGTTATACAGATACGTAAGGCTGTGTTAAGTGTCAATGAGCGGCAAAAGTGCCACCAAGTTGAACCTTTATTGTGTTATTATGATTTGAAAATGGGTATGACAAAGTAGAGAACTGCAGAAGCTCTTTGTTAAACAGCTTTGTGTGTCTTTCCTCTTTTATAATGTGTTATGTTGTTGCCTAAGTAATTGTACCCTGCTGCTTTGATTATTTGTATGCAGTTTATTGATCATATAATTGATTTCTGGATGCAGGTAAACATGGAAACAAATTACAGTTGGATGACCAGACACGACTTTTCTTATACCAGTTGGTTGGCACATGGGGTCAAATTCTCTTTCCCAAGCCATGGAAAGAGTTCAGGTTGTGGTATGACAAAAACAAGGCGATGGGCAATAGGCCATTTCTTGAGGGGATGGTAATAAAGCTTTTTTGAAGAAAAAACTTTTCTTGTTCACTCATTTAATTCTCAGTTTTGTTGACTTTTTATACATCAGCAGTTCAGTTCATTCCTAATTTTAGTTCTGAAATTTTGTCCAGGTGACTACAGGATGGTATAAGAAGATGGGGGAGAGAATTTGGACACCTTGGTTCATTAAGTTTATTCAATCCCGTGGTTACTTTAATATCTACACAAATTTTTTGCACGAGAGAGCATTAAGTGTCTCTCACAGAGATGCCGGAGTAAACTACGGGAAAACTGCTGGACCTGATTCTCAATTACTAGAGGAAAGATCTCTGGACTTCAATATTTTGGAAATGCAGCCTTTGAGTAGTTTAAAATGGTTTGATTTTTGTTTCAGAGAAGTACTTCCTGGAAAGGTTGTGAGCAACCTGGAAGAACTTGAATCTTGGCTTCGCTCTCTGCAGAAACGAGATAGTGTCTTCTTAGTAAATCTTTTTGGGGTATCAGATGCTATAGCTAGAAACTTACTATGCCACTTTGAGAGGCTAAATATGAGGAATTATATACTAATGAGCCCTCCATCTGACTTCTTATTTGATCTGGCAAGGAGGGGACATCCTGTAATTAACGTGGACCAATTTATAAGTAGTGTTGGATCGTATAAATTGCCTTCGGAAGGTTCCAGTTTTGATACCATCAAGGGTATTTTGGCAAAGACCTATGTAATTAAAAAGTGTATCGAGAACAGGTATAACACGTGGGTGATGGAGGGGAACATGCTTCCCACTTCTGACCTCTTGCTTGAGTCCGGAGATCCAAATGATGATTTCTTTGTGGCAAACAACTTGGAACTCTTACATGCTAAAAGCTCATCTTCTAGTGAGAAAATCTGGGCTAATGGCTTTGTGTCGAAGGTTTCAGCCTTGGCAGACTCTTTGGCAAGAAAAGAATCACCAACTCATGGTGGCCCAAGTTTTGTGTATATTGTAACAAAATTATTGGAACAGAATGGTGCGAGGATTAAAAGAGTTGATGAGACTTCTTTTGGGATGAAGATCGGCTCTGGAAATGTTGGTAAATCTTCTCTGGGGGATAAAAAGTTGGTATATTGGTCAACTGAGATGGGGCTGGACTCAATTCAGAAATGGCTTGAAGAGTTGAATTTGTGGGGTATAGATGGTGATTTATCCTGCACCGCTGTGGTGTGTCACAAATCATAGCATTTTATGGCAGCTATAGAAGTAGTTTTACATTTTAGTTTTCTTTCCATATTATTTTTGAGTTTTTTGATGCCATTTTAGCTTACATATATTCTTTGTACTCATTTTGTACCATCATTTGTAACAAATTAAGTTGTCAATGTGAAGCTTAAGATGGGCTAGAATTAAATTTTTCCGAGTTAGAAATTTGTGCCGGGGATTGAACTATTGGTTTTTGTATTAACTTCCATTTACCATTTACATCCTGCAACAATCATTTCATACTTTCTTTCTGAATATTAAAATTAACTGAGCTGTTAATTATACAGAAAAGGACTTTTTTAAAAAAAAAAAAAATTCTCCCACATTTCTTTTATTTCATGCACCGCTGACTTTTCTATAAGGTTTATAAAATAAACATTACCATAACATTGATGATCTGAGACTTAGTGACAGATGATCTTGATCCATCAAATTTAATAACTTCGAATAATATTAATCAAGCACATCTGTATATATACCGCCGCATATTTTAATAGTTTTTTTATCATATGATGGCAGTTAACTTTATCTTGTTTTCTGTACACTCGTCACCTGTATGAAAAAAAAGTGCATCAACAATTAAACTCTTTATGTTATTATGATAATGCTTGTATATCTCTTCGCACAGAAATAGAATATAGGTGTAAATTAAATAATAAAAATAATATGCATATAAAGAACGACCCATAAGCATGCATAGTTACTTCTATGCGATTACTTTACGTATTTCTCTACTTCCACTCTTTTTCCCCCATCTCCTAGTAAGGAATAATTTTCTCAAGAAAGGGACAACCCCACACACGAGACACATATAACAGAGTAAACTCCATAATTTTTTCATAAAAAACAGACACATTAATTTTTATTTTTTATTTTTTTAAATATAAATGCGAGTTATATTAATCTTTTTCTTACAGCTAATATGACTAAGTAGATGAAGAGAATTGAATTCTCTCATTTGATCTTTTTGTCTTCTTTTCGTTTCAAGAATTTGTATCTATTTTAGGAATAGTTTCTCCTATTACATTTCACATAAATACATAAAATAAGTGAATTTTATAAAAATAATAATCATGAACACATATATATATATATATGAAATAAGATTTATATCTACTTTTTTTTTATATTTACTTTAACTATTTTTCTCTAATATCATTATATTACAAATTTAGCCTAAATTTATTTTTTCTCTGTCCTCTATTATTATTGGTTGAGAATCTTGAGCTTGTGATTTAACTGAATCAGAGAAAATTAGGTAGAATAAATATAAAACATAATATTTTATTCTATATAATACACACACAAAATTTGCATGCTAAAATTTTTATTATTATTTTTTGAATATAAGTGAGAATTAAACATATAATTTAATAAAAGATAAATTATCTATTTTCGTTTCCAAGACGATTTTGTTTTTGGTTAAAAATTAAAAAATTATAATAAAAAAGATTATTATAATCTTGAAATAAATTATAATTATAAAAATACCTTAATTTCTGTCACACAACAACATCATTTTAGATTTAATATAAATAAATTATCTACTTTGAGCATAGAAAAGGCGAACCCCTTGATAAAATGTACTCAAATCCTTTATCACTAAAATATAGCTTTTTATTAAATTTTAAGATAGTAGTTTCCAAAAAGCGTAAATACCCTTCGTCTTCAGCAAATTTCAAGATGCTCACTTTAGTCCTTAGCAAATAAAAAGACTCATTGTGGTCCCTAAAAAATTTAAAATGGACTCATTTAATTGAAATCGTAGTCCCTCATAAATTAAAAAAAGACTCATATTAGTCCTCAAAAAGACTAAAATAAGTTCATTTTGAATTTTTTAAAAATCACAATTAGCGTTTTTATTTACTAGAAACTAAAACGGGTATCGTGAAATTTGCTAAGAACCAAAATAATTATTTACTCTTCCAAATATTTCATAAAAACGTAACATTTCACTTTAATGACAAACCACTTGCTTATAATACAAAGAGTAAACACCATTTTTAGTCCCTGACAATATATACGAAGTTCTTTTCAGTCCCTGACAATAAAAAAAGACCAAATTGGTCCCTGAAAGTACAAGAAAATGGCCACTCTACATATTTGGGAGTTGACATAAGGACTAACATGGTCCTTTTTTTGTAATTTCAGGGACCAATTTGGTCCTTTTTTATTGTCAGCGACTAAAAAGGACTTCGTAGATATTGACAGGACTAAAAAAAGTGTTTACTCTAATACAAAAATGTGGTGGGAAGAGAGAGAAGAGCATCTTTTTTTTTTTAATATATGAGAAGAGCATCTTTGATACCCAGACAGAGTAATAAAACGACGGCGTTATAGAAGGGCGGAGGCTTGTTCCGGCGATGGAGAAGGCCAATATATCGGCGTATTACGAGACGAGGGCGGCGCACTTTGGCGTAGTGAGCAGCGAGTGGCTGGCTCAGGCTGAGTCTGCCACCGGCCACGGCCACAGCCACAACAACCCACCAGACACCATTTCCGGCGATGATATTGATAAGCCTTTCTCCGTCATCGAGGAGTTCAACGCGTGGCGGAAGCATCCCGATTTGGCGGAGGCGGTGGCCGCCATTCGCGCATTGGCCGCCGTCATTAGCAGCAGCAAGGCGACAACAATGATGCAGCTGGAGATCGAGCTCAAGAAGGCCTCCGATTCCCTTAAAGTATCTAAATATCTATTCTTTTCTTCTCTTTCTCAAATGGGTCTTTACGATTATCCCATGGGTACTTTTTATTGCAATGTTTTGTTTATGTTTATGTTTATGTTTTATGTTTTTGGTTTTTTGTTTTTGTTTTTTGTTTTTTTGGTGTGTGTAGGGTGGAGTTTGCAATGGAGTTAACTGGAATTTCAGGTGTAAGGTTATTGTGGTAGCTTGTAGCTTTGTTTTTGTTTCAGAGTTTACTTATTGGGTTTGTTATATTACTATTCTTTGGGGTTCTACATGGTTTATTGTTCATTTCTAATTATAAATATGCTGAAAACTAATCTGGCAAGAACCCTGTAGAAATTTGGGAAAAAAAAAAAAAACTTCATGTGAAACTAACTTGTGAGGGTATGAGTGAGGAAATCCTTGTACATAGTGTTACTCTTGCATTATTGCAATGAAGCTGTTGTTTCCGGGATTCGAATATTTGAGTTATTTATGTGCAGCTTTATTACTGCAAGGCTCGCCCTCATTTTGTGTAAACTAGATGTGGGAAAAAAGTTAAAAATGATTAAAGTAGAAAATAGATCCTAGAATTTTTGAACTTTTGAGTTTTGTGATTGATTGTTAACTTGAATGTGGTTTTACTTTTTCAGTCGTGGGATACAACCTCTATCTCTTTGACAGCAGGCTGTGATCTGTTTATGCGATATGTGACTAGGACTTCTGCTTTAGAATATGAAGACTTCAATTCAGCAAAGTCTCGCTTGATTGAACGTGCTGAGAAGTTTGGGGAAATCTCATACAAGGTATGGTAGGTACTTGTAGATGAGTTGGTTGCTCATTGGCAAACATAATTTCAGTTACTTGCTCACATTAGTGCCTCTGAATTGATTTATTTTGCAGGCTCGCAAAATTATTGCAATGCTGAGTCAAGATTTTATAGTTGATGGTTGCACAATTTTGGTTCATGGTTTTTCCAGAGTTGTCTTACAAGTCCTAAAACTGGCTGCACAAAATAAGAAACTATTTCGGGTCTTCTGCACAGGTTTTGCTCTTCAAACTCTGATTTCAAATGCTCAGGTTCAGATTTAGTTTCAAACCAGAAGTCAAGACCTTGTCATTTAGTCATTATAAATTCATGGTAATTCACCTATTTTCTCAATATATAATTATAAGAATATTCTTTCCAACGTGCTCTTAGAAGCTTTGGACCGGAGAGTTGGAATTGTATTTCTTAATTCTATTGACCTGATAATTTGATGGCGGGCTAAGTTTTCTGTGACTTTAATTTCTTGGTCATCCCATTTTAAGCTCTTGGGTGAAGTCTGTGTCTTTGTTGTTTTCCTTATTAGCAATTTGTGATCTGAACTTTGTAACTATAAATTTGCAGAGGGGAGACCAGACCGAACGGGTTTAAGGTTGTCCAATGAGCTGGCCAAGCTTGATGTTCCTGTGAAAATTGTAATAGACTCTGCAGTGGCATATACTATGGATGAGGTGGACATGGTATTTGTTGGGGCAGATGGAGTTGTTGAAAGTGGTGGTATAATCAACATGATGGGGACTTACCAAATTGCATTGGTTGCAAAGAGTATGAATAAGCCAGTTTATGTAGCTGCTGAAAGCTACAAGGTATAATTTCAACTTAAAGAAATTAATATAGTATTTCATTTGTTATTTTAGCATGCTTGCATCATTTTGCACAAGTCTTGTATTAATTAGGAAAGGATCATCTATAATTACGTGTCATGTATGTGTTAATCTGCAGTTTGCTCGTCTTTACCCTCTTGACCAAAAGGATTTGGCCCCTGCCTTACGCCCAGTTGATTTTGGTGTACCTATTCCATCCAAGGTTGAGGTTGAATGTTCTGCCAGGGATTATACTCCTCCTCAATATCTAACTCTGCTTTTCACAGATTTAGGTGTTCTTACTCCATCAGTTGTTAGTGATGAGCTCATCCAGCTATACTTATAGTCGTCCATGTAAAATTTTGTTCTGATTCTTTCAAAATGTTCACCTCATTTCAAGATCGTGTTTGTCTTAATGAAACAATTTTCTAACAAGTATAAGAGTTAACAACCTGAATGTAAGTGGGGATAGTCTTTATTGTGTTTGTTAAGCTTTGACTTTCTGAGAAATACAAGGGTGGCAAGACCTATCTATAATTACATTTTCCAATGGTGCTGCTTGATATCTTCTCAGTTTTGAAGGATTGCTATTTGATTTGCTGATTTGATGTTATCAATTGGTGAAAACCTTTTTCCTCATTGCTATTGAGTTTCGTTTAGGCCCAAAATGTGTGTCTACATCATTGGTAATGATGGAATTACACTATATTAACCTACCTGATAAACCCTGTTGATCAGAGCAAATAGTAATACGTTCATAAATTGTTTAACACTCTCATACCCCTTTCAGCACCACCGGGTCACGTAAAATTTTGTAACTGTCAAGTCATCATCCATTCATATTATACTGTGATTTTGCACAGTTTTTTACACATACCTATGGAAACAGTTGTGTTGAGCGTTTTTCATTTGACTGAGCCTCATAAAACCTAGAGTTTCTAGTAAAGATTCCAGTGCAATAAAATCTAGGTTGAACTTGGATTAGCTTCTAGACTAAGTATGCAGCAAAGTCACCTTTATTTAATTTTCATTATTTATACACTGAATTTGAGGTTCTTTTCTTTTTTGGTAGAAGATATCAGGATTCATCTTGGTAGAAGAGAGGCTCTTTTCTTAGTAGGGATGAACTTTCATAGTATTTGTACATAGATGCTACTTTTAACACTATTTGAATTTGAATATACCGAGATTATCCCCACTCCCAAAAGAAAAATAAAATAAATAAATAAAGTAATTCTGGTTTTCTTTCTTTCATTTTTTTCGTTTGATACTTTTCTGGGTATGAAGCACTGGTTGTCCTCTCCACCGAAAGAGAAAAGTTTCATTCTATATTGAAGTGTTTTCAACGGAACACATTTTCAACGAAATTTTTTGACGAAAAATATTTCAATAAAGAATTTCTACGAAAAAAATCCCTTCAAAATTCTTGACGTAATCTAAATTCCATCTAAAGTTTGGACGAAAATATTTTCGTCAAAATTTTTGACAGAACAATTTTCATAATATTTTTTTTACGGAAAACATTTATGTCAAAAAATTTGATTGAGTTCTTTTTTTCGTTCAAACTTTCGATGGAATTTTTTCTGTAGAAAAAATTTAAGAAATCATTTTCATCAAAAAAATTTATGGAAACTAAATTTTGTCCAAAATTTCGAAGGAATTATGTTCTGCTGAAAATTTTGATGCAAATTTATTTCAGTCAAATTTCAATGGATAAAAAATTGTTACCTTTCGACGAAATTTTTTTGACACAAATGTATTTTTCTTCGTTTAAAACGTAAAAATTTTGTCAAAAATATGCTTTCTTTAGTAGTGGGAAAAGTATATAAATAATTTTTTTAATAAAATTTTATATATAATTTTATTTGTAAAATATAATAATTATATTAATTATTTAAGGAAGGATAAAATAGTAAAAATATTTCAATAACCTTTTATTTTTTTTCCTTACAATTTTTTTAAATCCCAAATAAGAGAAGGGAATACTCTTCATTTCTGTTTTCTTCTTTTCCCTTCCTTTCCCTTGCATTCATTTCTTTTCCTTCCCCTCAAAACTCTCAAACAAAGTCTAAGATTTTGGGTTAAATTAGTTCTTTACATGTTATCTTATCAGAGCTTTTTAGTGATCACGAGGTAACGAGTTCTTTACATGCAATATACACGCTTCAAGTACAAAGAGCTCTTGTGTAAGGGAGTGTGTTAGAGAATAATTTAAACAGTTAAAAAAAGTCTTCACCCAACACCTTAAGGTTTTGCAAACGAGTTTAAGGTTGTCCAATGAGCTGGCCAAGCTTGATGTTCCTGTGAAAATTGTAATAGATTCTGCAGTGGCATAAACTATGGATGAAGTGGACACGGAATTTGTGGGGGCAGATGGAGTTGCTGAAAGTGGTGGTATAATAATCAACAGGATGGGGACTTACCAAATTGCATTGGTTGCAAATAGTATGAATAAGCCAGTTTATGTAGCTGCTGAAAGCTACAAGGTATAGTTTCATCTTAAAGAAATTAATATAGTATTTCATTTGTTATTTTAGCATGCTTGCATCATTTTGCACAAGTCTTATATTAATTAGGAATGGATCATCTATAATTACATGTCATGTATGTGTTAATCTGCAGTTTGCTCGTCTTTACCCTCTTGACCAAAAGGATTTGGCCCCTGCCTTACGCCCAGTTGATTTTGGTGTACCTATTCCATCCAAGGTTGAGGTTGAATGTTCTTGCCAGGGATTATACTCCTCCTCAATATCTAACTCTGCTTTTCACAGATTTAGGTGTTCTTACTCCATCAGTTGTTAGTGATGAGCTCATCCAGCTATACTTATAGAGTCATCCATGTAAAATTTTGTTCCGATTCTTTCAAAATGTTAAACTCAGTTCAAGACCATGTATGTCTTAATGAAGCAAATTTCTAACAAGTACGAGAGTTAGTAACTTGAATATAATAGTGGGGATAGTTTTTAATTTGTTTGTTAAGCTTTAACTTAGAAATACAAGGGTGGCAATACCAATCTATAATTACGAAAAAAAAAAATAGTTCAAAGGATACATTGAGTTTTCGGTGCCTATTCCACTCCGAATATGACATATGTCTTACCTTTTATCAAATTACTCTCACCTGATTTTAAAATAAATACATTTTAAAATAAAGTATGTATTAATGATTTGTCAAGAATAAGACACGTATCACATTGTGGGTGAAAGACACATCGAAAACTCGTGCATCGTAGAGCTAAAAATATTTATAATTTGGCTTGGGCTACAATTTATAATTGACCCTATCTAAAACTTAAAATATTTTTAGTAAAAGATTTGGGTAACTTGTATTAGGTTATGTGTTCAATTTTCATTTATATATAAAAAATAAATATTTTTAGTAAAATAAAGAAATATTTAATAAAATTATAACTCTTCTTAGTGCTGTCCTATGTTGCACCGACACTGACACGGGACACGAGACACGACACGACACGCCGACACGTTATTTTTAAAAAATATCATATTTCAACACGTTATGACACATCATGATATTAAATAATATTTTTAATATATATAATATAATTTATATTTAATACATAAAACAGTCCATAATAAGTCATATAACCAATCAAATATTCAAATTCCATAACATAAATATAAAGCAAAAGTAATTTTTCATACCTTGTTAATTTTTTATGTTAAATTCCATAACAGAAAAAAAAATTGACTTATAAATTAATTTTTCATTTTTAGGTAATAAAATAAAATTTAGACCTTAAAAAGAACGTGTCGAAGCGTTGACTGCGTGTCAAAAAAAGTTGATCGCGTGTCGGAAACACATGTTGGAACATGTCGGAGTGTTTACCGCGTGTTCCAAAATGTTGACCACGTGTCGGACACACGTCGGAGCGTGTCGGTGTTCGACATGCAATTTTTTTAAAAAAGCTTGTCCGTACATTGTAGGTGTTGTCTGCTCAGATGTTCTATATTTAATATAATTTAAATATATTATGATATGAACTAACTAAAATTAAAACAAATAAATATACATATAATTTTTTGGTCCGCGCTCAAATTAGAGCCCGGCTCCGCCATTGAAAGGATTGCTATTTGATATGCTGATTTGATGTTATCTATAAGTGAAAACTTTTTTCCTCATTGCTATTGAGTTTCGTTTAGGCCAAAAATGTGTTTCTATACATCATTGGTAATGGTGGATTACACTATATTAAGCCAACCTGATTAACCCCGTCAGAGCAAATAATAATACGTTCATAAATTGTTTAACACTCTCATACCCCAGCGCCACCGGGTCACGTAAAATTTTGTAATTGTCAAGTCATCATCCATTCATATACTGTGATTTTGCACAATTTTTTACACATATCTATGGAAACGGTTGTGTTGAGCGTTTTTCATTTGACTGAGCCTCGTAAAACCTAGAGTTTCTAGTAAAGATTCCAGTGCAATAAAATCTAGGTTGAACTTGGATTAGCTTCTAGACTAAGTATGCAGCAAAGTCACCTTTATTTAATTTTCATTATTTATACACTGAATTTGAGGTTCTTTTCTTAATAGGTATGAACTTTCATATTTTTTGTATATAGATGCTACTAATTTTAAGACTATTTGAATATACCCTGAAATTATCCCCACTCCCAAAAGAAAAAAGAAATAATAATAAAAAAACAGTAATTTTGGTTTTCTTTCTTTCATTGTTTCGTTTGATACTTTTTTGGTTTGCTGTTATGAAGCATTGGTTGTCCTCTTCACCGAAAGAGAAAAGTTCCATTATAATGGAGTGAAGGATGAGACAAAAGAAAATAAATAATAAAAAAAATGTTTCCTCTATAAACAATTACACGCATAATTGATATAGGCGAAAAAGTAAAAAAAAACAAAGACAGAAAAACGTAAATGGTTAAGATAAAATATACTCGCGCGAGGTATTTTTGTGTGTGTGTGAAACATTGTTGATAAAACATATTAGGGTTTATCATTTCTCTATCAACTTAAGATAAAGTTATCTAATCAACTTTAAAATTATTATATTTTTGGAGATTAAGAAAATTAAGGAAGGATATTTTAAATTTCTTGTTTGTTTCTTGTTATATAAATTTTTACTGAAACACTTTTCATTAATTTTTCCAAACCCCAAAACATCTTTGTTTTGGTAGGCGATCAAACATATTATGTTAACCAAGATTTGTGAGATCAAACTTATGCACAAAGGTCTTAATTTCGATTCGGTTATTGCTTTTAAAGATTATTTATAAGTACTGCAATCAGTTCTTCCTAACCTACTCTCCTCCTCCTCTTAATAATAATAATAATAATAATAATAATTATTATTATTATTATTATTAATATTGAAGTGTTTCTCTTAGAGAGAAAATTATTTATCATATAATAATGTTGTTTTGGGATTAAAAAAAATGTATTTTAGAAATTTTATTTCTTGCAATATGAATTCTTGTATTTTTTTTATCCAAATCACAAAATAAAATACTTTTGATTTTGGGATTACAGCAGATAATTTTATCTTATATCACAACAAACACTAAATAATAATAATAAATAGAGTTGCAATGGAGGAAAAGAATTAGCCATGCACTGAAACGTAGAAGAAAGAGAGATCAACATTAAACACCGAACTGAATATTTATTCATAACCGAAAGCTAAAGTGATAGGAAATGCATGTTAATAGTAAAATATGGGATAAATTATTCAATCTATTTTTTTTTTCTTACCTACTTTTTTTACTCATCTATAATATTATTGGATCAGAATTTCAAGAGGAAAGAGAAATAGTAAAATTCTGATCCAATGATATTGAAAATAAGTAATTAAGGTAGAAAAAAAGAGTAAAATATTCTGTCCCATAAAATATATCTGTTTGATCAAGGGTTCTGAAACGAGATTATTGTATTCCTACCTAAAGCAAGGTTCTCTAGCTTCTTTTGACCAAACACGTTTCCACATATATCCTAAGATGTTTCAAAGGTTTTGTTTCTTTGGCAAAAACTTCTCCCTCAGGTCCGCAGAATCAACCTCACCAAAGCGATTCTCTGGCATCCAGTTTCCAGTCTTAGGATCTCTCATCCAAAAGATTTCATCTTTTTTTGAAGCTGAAGAAGCATTGGCTGATGCTGACTCACTCTCATTCGACTTCACCACCGTTGTTGCCGCCGTCTGCAACCTTAAACTTTCCGCTACAACCGCACAAGACCGCTTCCTGCACCATTGTCCCTTCATCATTATCATGACATATATAATTCATAGTATCCAACAAAAATATATAAATAAAAAAGAAGAAGAAGAAGTAGAAGAAGAAGAAAAGAATTGAACAAAGAAAGACATGCAAAACAAAAAAGAATAATAAGGATGAAGATTTTGAACCGAAGAAGGAGAATAGGGTTGACTGGAACGTTAGCCATGTTGTTGAAGAAAATAAAAGATGGAGAAATTATAAAGAGTGAGTTTAAGAGAGTGTAGAGATTTAAGGGATGAAGGGTTGGTTTGGAAGGAGAGGGTCTTATATAAGCAAATGAACCAAGTGATTTTTCTAGCAACTCGTAACTGATAAGCAGTTATGACTTTGAACATGTGAGAATCTGAGTCCATAATAGAATTTTGAATAATTCTCTTATGACTTTGACGTTGGTTGTTCTTTTAACTAAATGTCTGTTGTAAAATATTCTTTTATTTAAAACAAATTCAGAAAGTAATTAATGTACACAACCTCTTGTCATCGCGGAAAAAGGGGCAAGAATCCATTAATTGTAAACTTTCTTTTATATATATAGGGATTTGCATTTATCATTTAACATGACACAAGAAAGTTTCTTACACACACAATAGTTTGTGAGGCTCACACTTTTTGAAGCAAAAAAAAAAAAAAACTACGGCACGCAAAACGAATCTCTATAAAATTACACAATCACTTTTCCTACAACATAACTCTTATAAAACTCATATATATATATATATATATATATATATATATAAGAAAAATGAATATTCAGTGACTGGACCGTCCAGTGCACTATGTTCTCCCAGGAGAACATATTTCGCTAAATATTATAATGATGTACTCCCGGAAGAACATAGTTATAATATTTACTATAACTGTGTTCTCCCGGGAGAACATAGTGCACTGGACCAAATTTTATATCCGATCACTGTACACTCACTAAACCCATAAAAAAAAAAAAAATATATATATATATATATATATATATATATATATATATATATATATATATATATATATATATATATGGGTTAGAATCATTTTACACCAGTGTAAGTTATACTCTCAATTTTGTCCGTTGATCTCACTTATATCTAAGTGCTCTAATTTTTTAGTAATGTAAGCCATTGGATACAAGTGGATCAATGGTCAAGATTGAGTGTAAGACTTCTAACTGTTACACCGGTGTAAGAATATCCTGCCCCTATATATATATATATAGAAAAAATGAAAATTCAGTCATAGGACCGTCTAGTGCACTAAGTTCTCCTGGTGTTCTCTCGGGAGAACATAGTGCACTGGACCAAATTCTGTATCCAGTCACTGTACACTCGCTAAAAAATTAGAGCCCTTAGATATAAGTGGGATCAATGGTCAAGATTGAGAGTGTAACTTACACTGGTGTAAAATGATCTTGACCCATATATATATATATATATATATATATATATATAGAAATAGATCCTCTAATGTGGAAAAGTGGATATATGCTCATGTTATTTGATCACAGTCACTCGTTAATGATGAGATAAGAGAGAGAAAAATGCATATTATATATATATATATAGGAAAAAATATTTCTACAGCCACTTTAGATAATGTTATCTACAGCTACCATTTTTAACCATGTTCTCCCGGGAGAACATAGTTATAACATTAAAGTTGCTTTTTTTTTCTCTCCTCAGTTACTTTTCAGAACTTGTTTGCTGACGTGAAAAGAGAAAAAAAAAGCAACTTTATTGTTATAATTATATTCTCTCGAGAGAACATAGTTAAAAATGATAGCTGTAGATAACCTTATCTAAAGTGGCTGTAGAAATATTTACCCCATATATATATATATATATATATATATATATATATATATATATATATATATATATATGAGTTTACATTTCTGCAGCTGCTGTACGTGCAACAATTAAATACTTGTCATATATATACTTGAAAGCATTAAATGCGGAGAATCATAACCATACAAAGGATGAAAGCATTAAATGTGCGGAATCATAATCATACGCATGCCTTTGCTGTATGAAAAACGACTGCAGAAATGATTTTACCATATATATATATATGGGCTTATCGTTTCTCAAACTGCTTGAGATAATTTTATCTCTGGCTACTAAATCATAACCGTACAATGATGAATCCATGGTGATAAAGGAAGAGAGAGAAAAGGGAAATCATAACTATTCAAAGGTGAATCAATTAATATAAAAAAATAAATAAATAAAACGACGTAGTTTTAAGATGGCCGGAAATAAACTTATCTCAAGCTGCTTGAGAAATGTTTTTCCACATATATATATATATATATATATATATATATATATATATATATATATATATATATTGTAAATATAATGTTTTGTGAAAACATTAGTCATATACTGTCAGATAAATTGTCCCTATATTGTATCTGGTTTTTAATATAAGAATTTAATTCTATGGTATATACCAGAACTATCTTTTCTAAAATATCGCAATGATATAATTTCATGAATAAAGATATGATTGAAGGGGAGATTATATTAGGCATTTATTAATATTTATCTAGATTTGATATCGATTAGTCCTGATTGATATTAATTTGGATTAATATTAATTATATGTATAAGATACTTAAAATATTAGTGAGAATGATTTATTTCCTTATTTTATGGTCCTAATCTATATTAGATAAATATTAAGAATTTGTTCACATCACAAGGTGTGTAAAGTGAATTAATAATTTCTTGTTAGATTAATAATATAATCGTTGTAACTTAGATCGTTACATCATTTAAAACTAATATTTTGGTATGTTAGCATTACTCAATAAAATATGGGATATGATATTTTGCCTATCTTTTTTCATGTCTATCTTACATACTCATCTCCAACACTAGTTGTTAGTAGGGGTGTTCGCGGTCTGAATTGAATCGGTTTTGGAAGCAAAAATCACCCAATCCAATCCCTTATGTTTGATCATGTAATAATCCATTCAGTTTGGATTTTTTTTTCAAATCTGATCGGATCCAATCCAATTTTTTTTCTTTTGATTGGATTGGTTTTCGGTTTTATGAAAATCATAAAATTTATTTCATGATTATTGTGTAAATAACAACTTTTGTATTATATTGGCTTTGTAAATTATTGTTTTTTGAAATACAAAAGCATCAGTAAATGATAATATAATTTTATTTTATTTTTGACAATGAGATATGAAACTCTACACAGATAAAATTTTGTTGATAAATTGTGACTAGATTTTTTCTTGGGTTTAGCTAATGAATTAATGGGTCTTGAGTTTAGAAATTTTTGGGCTTGATTGGGGAAAGACCTAAGTAGGTAGAGAAAAATTAATATATTTGATCAGTTTTCATCAACCAATCCAAAAACTGATCCAATCCAATTAAAATTTGCGATTTTTTTTTTGTTTTTGATTTTTTGATTTTTGATTTATTCGGTTTTTGGTTTTTCGGTTCGGTCACCGTAGTTTGAATCGGTTTGGATCGGTTGATGAACACCCCTAGTTGTTAGATTAAAATGTCAACTAACTTTCACCATTTCTCTCTCCTTGAGATTCTGATATAATGGTATTGGAGATGAGTAGATAGAGTAGGTATGAAAAAAGGTATGCATAATATCTATACTATAAAATATTGACAAAAACGAAAATACTCATTTCAATCTTGATCCACTAATAAATAATCGACCTACTTAACTTTAATTTTTGCAATTATAAATCCAATGTAAGCTTTCAACAATTAGATGACCCTTCGCGTGCAATAAAACCTAAGAAAACAGGAAAAGCGAGTGGGTTAAGCCAATGGATTCATGAAATTTGACTGGACAAATATATTTTTAAGTAACTTTAGTTTTTTAAATTTTAACTCAACCATTAAATCACTCTTAGTAACTTCCTTTATGTTAGACTAATTCTTATTTAAAATGTCAAAATAGATTCCTCCTACAAGTATTTTTTTTTTGGGGATTTGAACTCTTAATATTATAGTTTTTTTTTGAGTTATTCCAACCTTTTTTTTTTTGGATTACAAAGGAAAGCAGAAAGAAACTAAAACGAATCAGGGCATAGACAAGCCCCTACAATCCTCTAACACAAGGTCCCTACACCCATCTGGTGGAATGTTAAACCAATGAGTATCCCAACTATTATCAACTCTGAGCTTAGCTAGCCAATTAGCAACTTGGTTGCCTTCTCTATGCGTATGTAAAATATTCACATGCCAATGATTAAACATCAGCTCTTTAATTCTATTAACAAGAAAGAAGCAAGGATAGGAGCTAACACACCCATTCCATTTGTAATCAGATGAATTGCAACCAGTGAATCTCCCTCTAGAACAACATTCCTCATATTCTGCTGCCAGATCCATTCCAGCCCTGTCAAGATGCCCCATAATTCAGCCATTAAAACTGAACCATGGCCAAGTTTCCTGGAGAAGCCATGCACCCAATAACTGTAAACCCACCACAGTTATTTGAACTCTAATTATCTCTTTGAGGCGAGTTGACTCATCCGATATTCTAACAAGCTTCAACTCTGAGCCTAATCCGGAGTGCGGGGCAAGTGAGAGATAGAGATATTTAAACCCCTCCCAAATGTAACATATGAGAGTTGAATCGAGACACTCTTCTTTTCACTTATTTAACTCTCTTGTTACCAAATGAGTCACTATCATTTGGTAATATTATAATACTTATCTACTGGCTCATCTCTATAACGTCATATGAAACCAAATTTGTTTTATTAAATTTAGTATATAATTAGATTTTTTTTTTATCTAATTAGAGAAAGGGGGCTAATAAATTTTTTTATTGTGCAACTCGTATCAATATTTTGTATTAATCATATATTTTTTGACAGGTGTTTTTGCTGTGTTTTTTTTTTAATATGCTTTAAGAACATATTCCTAATGCAAATGGCAAAAGCATGTTTATTCTTTTTTTCTTTCAGAGTTTGTCCTACTTTTCTCTCCCTTTTTGGTGATTTTGTCTTCTCATTAAATGCATCCTGGCCAGTTCTATTCATTTTCTTTCTTGCTTTTCTTACTTTTGTAGTTTCTTTTAATAAATTTATCCATATTTTTCGTGTGTAATCTTTTGGATAGATTTTAAAGAAATTTGCTTTAATTTTATCATCTTTTCTCTCGGTTATGGTAGTTTTTAAAATTTTAACTTTAATGGTCTCACATTAGCCACATGTTTGGTTTTACGAAACAATAAAACTTCAGCATAATACTCTCTTCAAATGGAAGTATGTTATGTGCCAATCTACAAATCTTAATTTAGTTTTGAAAAAATATTTTATATAATTTCTTCCCTCGATAGATCTATTGTTTTGAACTGAAATTATAAGTGTCAATTGGTTTTTATTTTAATGAATTCTAATTTATGAGAAAAAAAAATGTACATAAAAATTTCCCTAGATGGCTCCTGCACATAGGGAGGCAAAATACATAGACGGAATGATAAAGACTTGAAAGTAGAGCCAGAAGTGATTCTCAGCTAACTAAAAATGTAGAAAAAAGAGAGAGAGTGCGTTACAGCCATAAAGCCACAGATACTGATTCTAATTTGTACCAAGTAATACCTTACTATAGAAAGTTTTCCGTCTTTATTCAGGAGCGGCCCTTTCTGTGATGAATCAGATCGTATGCAGAAAAACCTTAATCATTGGTTCAATGTAAATAACTTCCATTAACATAGGCTTTTGGACAAATAGCCCCGTGTAATTTTAATTTTGTAATTTACAAACAGTGAGTCTGAAGAAAGTAATGGATGGAGTTAATTTTCCTGAGTTAATTTTCCTTACCTTATATATATATGAAAAAAATATTTCTTAAGTTGTTTGAGATAACTATATCTTCGGCCATCCAAAAACTACATCGTTTTGTTTATTTATTTTCTTATATTAATTGATTCACTTTTGAATAATTATGATTTCTTTTTTCTCTCTCTTCCTTTATCACTGTTGATCCATCTTTGTATGGTTGAGATTTAATAGCCGGAGATAACATTATCTCAAACAGCTTGAGAAATGATAAGCCCTATATATATATAAGGAAGGTTAAACTTACAACTTTTTTTTTTATAACCTGTTACAACCATATCTTAACACCATTAATTTCCGCCAATCAACGGTTATGATTTTCGCAAATTAAACTCATTAATTAATTATTAATTCACAATAAATGATAACCGTTGATTGGCGGAAATCAACGGTGTTAAAATATGGTTGTAAAAAGTTGTAAAATAAAAAGGTTGTAAGTATAACCTTCCCATATATATATATATATATATATATATATATATATATATATATATATAAGACAGGATCAACTTATACTAGTGTAAGATTAATAACTCTTACACTCAATCTTAACCGTTGATTTCCGTCCATCAAACGACTCTAATTAATTATATTATTCTCATTAATTAATTATTAATTATAACCGTTAGATATGCGAAAATTAATGGTTAAGATTGAGTGTAAGAGTAATAACTCTTACAACGGTGTAAGAAGATCCTGGCCCTATATATATATATATATATATATATATATATATATATATATGGGTTTTATAATTGTCATGCAACATGAGAATTCAAATTTTCCTACACACCCTTCGATTTCCGTGCAGACATGGGTCCTACATATAATTTTTTCTAACATATGGGTCCCACATTCTTTTTATTTCTACAACATGAGAATTATAAAACCCTATATATATATATATAATAATATTTCTCATATTATAGGAGATAAATTTTATCTCCTATACATACATAAAAGTTTATGAAACTTATATTTTCTCTTTATCTCTCTTCTCTTTTCAAATGGGCACATATATAGGATAGGAGATAAATTTATTAAATTCGTATATGGAGATTATATCCCTCATGTTACATAACCAAAATTTGTTGTCATTTAGGGAAAAAACAAGATCAATTAATTGGACAAAATGTCCTCTCATTTTCTTTAATATTATATAACTTCGTCTTTTTTTTAAATAGGAAAAGGAAAAAAAAAGATTGATTCCTATAACACGATGGATATATTCCTTTAACAAGAGAATTATTTTCTTCTACCACCCTCTTCTCTATTTCCGTAATAGCCACTTTTTTATTTTTTTCCCAAGGTAGACCCCACCTCTTTTTCTCTAAGTCAGAGATCTCTAACTATTTCTACGACATGAGAAGTTGCAAGCTATATATATATATATATATATATATATATATGGTAAAAGATTCCTCAAGTTAATGGAGATAAAGTTATTTTCGGTGAATTCAAAGTGACATCATTTTGGAGTTGTAAAATTAAAAAATTATAATAATAAAGACTAATTTAACCCTGTAATAAATTATAATTGCAAAAATACCTTGATATTTGCCCTAAATCGACGTCGTTTGGGCTCACCGGAGATAACTTATCTCCATTGATTGAAGAAATCTTTTACCCATATATATATATATATATATATATATATATATATATATATATATATATATATATATATATTTTTTCTGCAGTTAATGCAGATAAGTTATTTGCATTGAGCCCAAAACGACGTCGTTTTGGGACGGAAATCAAAGTATTTTTGTAATTTTAATTTATTTCAGGGTTATAAAAGTCTTTATAATTATATATTTTTAATATTTCAACACCAAAACGACGTCGTTTTGGGAGTAAATGCAGATAACTTATCTGCAGTAACTGCAAAAATATTTCTATATATATATATATGGCAAAATAATTTGTAATGTAGCTGCATATAAGCATTGATACAATCACCTGAAAACTACGTCGTTTTGTGTGAGATAAAGGAAGTTCGCTCTCAAAATTAATTGTAGAAAATAAAAATATTGTATTTATTTTCACCTTTATATGGTTATGATTCCTCAACTACTTGAAATAATTTATCTTCAACTACTAAATTATAACTGTACAAAGATGGATTAATAGTGATAAAAGAATAGAGAAAAAAAAAATCATAACCATTCAAAGGTGAATCAATTAATATAAAAAAATAAATAAACAAAACAACGTCGTTTTGGAATGGCCGGAGATAAACTTATCTTATATTGTCAGAGAAATATTTTTTTCAAAACAACGTCTTTTTGAGATAGCCGGAGATAAACTTATCTTAGGTTGTCGGAGAAATATTTTTTTCACACACACACACACACACATATATATATATATATATATATATATATATATATATGAAGCAGGATCCTTTGACACCGGTGTCAAATTTGAAGTTGGACACTTCATCTGAGAGTCGTTAGATCAAAAAAGATCAATGGTGTTACATGCTTGCAAATCAGAGTCGTTGATCTTTTTTTATCTAACGGCTCTCAGATAAGGTGTCAAATTTTAAATTTGACACCGGTGTCAAATGATCCTGTCTCTCTATATATATATATATATATATAAACAACAGTTCTGTACGATCGCTACTCAACTTTGTGTAAACAATTTCCTGTATCATGCTAACAACTTATTTGGGTATGCATGTATGTCCGTGCGTGTAGAAAGACTTAAAAATTATCTGTTGAATTAAATCATATAAAAATGCGCATAAGACTATACATTTTCCCTTCTATACAATAGGACACTGGGAATAAATAAAGTAAACTTCCAAGTCACTGCTCACAATGGAGAGCTTGACGGTATTCGAACGCGGTGGGAGTTCCATACTCTAAATTAGGAATTTCTTTCCCCCTTAAGAACAAAGGTGGAAGGGGTTAGAGCCTACTCCTAATAGCAATGTTATTAGAACCGGATCGGTCATTGACCCAGCTAAGGTACCGGGTCACTGGTTCAACCGGTGGATCACGGGTTGAACCGCATGAACCGGATATATATATAAATTTATATTTTATATTTAATTATATAATAAACATTTTGAATGGTGTCATCTAAACAATAACCCGATGTAATTTAATGGTATTTGCTATGTTGTATATCCTTAATGGAAGGAGTTCGAATCACATTGGATGCAATTTTTGAATTAATTATATTAACTTAATAGTTATATAGTAAATATATTACATGGTGTATTTTATTCAAGTGGCGCTCCTCCAATGTGCTGGGTTCGAATCTCACCTACTGCGAAAAAATATTTTGTAGCTAATTTTAATAACACTGCCTAATAGACATCTATATCGACTAAACCTGATTCTCAATTTCCTTTATGGGCTTTACTTCTCACATATAAGATAAGTTATCTTATATTGTGAGACAAACAAAGTGAAACCCACCAATTTAAAAAAAAAAAAAAAAAGACATTTTTTTATGTGAATATAACATGAGAGCTGAATCTCATGCAAGATGAGAGTATAATTTCGCTTCTTTTATTCCTATATTTCGCTAATCTATCTAAAACATAGTGATTACAGATAAATCCACCAAAAGAAGAAACTGGCCGTCTGCTATTCAGGAGATGGAGGAGTCTGTATCAAAGTAGTCGTGATGACATTGAACCTTGCGAATACCCATTAGCAACACATTGTTTCTTCTTGAAATTTGTAAGACTACAATGAGGACATATATATTCTAACCCATCAGTTTTGGCATAATCCTGCAGAAGTTGTGAATCAAAAAAGGAATCCTTATTAATATAATTAAAGGCAAAGAGACACATTGTTTTTGCCCTAAATAACATCAAGACTCATTCATATACAATTGTAAGTGATGATGTAGTAGTACCTTAAATGCGCCGAGACCTTGCCTTCTGTCACAGCCGAAGTGGGCCCACTCACCACATATGCCACAATTAACCCAATCCCCAGCTGCACTACTGTTGAACAGTAGAAAGATGTTAAGGAAAACGTATACGAGGGGTCACAATCTGCAGGAAACCATACTACAATACTGTAATTGAATGACTTCATTGACTTAAAAGAAGTACAAACCTGTGACACAACAAGCAGCACTCTCCATCCACATCATCATGTGCTAATTCATATTCTAAAAGGTAGGTTTCATAATGTCTTTTGAGTGTATTTCCAACTCCCTGTAGAAGACATGGAAAAAAAATACCTTAGTTGCCAGTTAATTTCAAAAAAATACCTTAGTTGCCAGTTAATTTCACATAATATACAAGCATCCAGTCATCACATAAATTCTGAATTAGTTGGTGAACTTCTTATTGGTACAATTTTAACTTTTCTAGATCAATACCAAAACAATTCCTCTGCTGTGGGGTGTTTAGGGGGGGGGGGGGGGGGGGGGGGGCGAATGTCTCAACAGTTATGTCTTTGTAGCGGCTTCAGTTTTTTTGGCTTCACCATAAGTTAATATTGTTTTATCAATCTCAAAACTTTAAAGTGTAATTCAAGATTCAATATAACAAAAGCATAAAAAATGAATTACACAAGGGATATAACCAAGGCATAGAACATACAGTCATTCTATTGGTTGTTGTGTAATTGCGCATCTTTGAAAAAATTTGTCCCTTCCAGTTGATACCGTTGCCAACATGAAATCCTCCCCTGGTAACCACCTAAAATACCAACAAATTCAGAAGAAAAAAAAAGGTTTCACTAATCCATAATTATTTTCAAGGGTTTAATGTTTCTCATGATGTAGGAGATAAAATTATCTCCTACACATACATAAAAGTGTGTGGAGCCTAGTTTTTCTCTTTCTTTCTGTTCTCTTCACATAGCCTCCATACACATAGGGATAACTTTATCTCCTATAATATGAGAAACTTTAAACCCTATTCTCAATGAACACAGTTTCACTAACATACCTCTTTATACAAGTTGTAGAGATCAAGGCGTTTTCCATTGAGTATGGCATCAGGGAACTCGGAAAGACCTCCTTGAGGAATCAGTCGATTATGGCCCCGGAGAATCAGAAACTCCATGACATCTTTAAGAAATTCCTCCTATACAGCAAGTTATAATTATTTGAAATTTAAGAATAAGTTCTCATTGAATGTTTGCATCATAAAGAGATTGAGTAACCCAGTACGATTTAGTCATATTAAAGTTAGCATCCTTTTATGGAATGCATTGAAAAAAATCATTAACAGGAAAAAAATGAGCAATTGAAAGAAAAAAGATATCATCTTTTTATGGAATATGGAATCCAATTGAATGTTTGCATCAAAAGAGATTGACAAGCCCAGTATGATTTAGAAGTATTCAGGATAACATTTTTTTATGGAATATGGATTAAAAAAATCGTTAATATAAAAATAATGAGAAAGTGAAAGAAATAAGTCATTACAATTCTCATATCAATGTTGAGATTAAGTTAGAATGAGAAATATTTTGATACAAAAATTTAATCTAGTTCATTTTTCCAGAAAAATTCATGAATCAAGACATACAGAACTCTTCTTTCTTTTTCCAAAATAAGATAATTGATTTGAGTTACATCTGTACTGTAGTTGCATGAAAATTATACATCATGTGGTATTTAATTATATCAGAACTCTCTTTTGCTAAACGACAGCAAACCATTTTCATCAACTTATGTAGCATTTAGAGGTTTCTATTTTAAGAGCACGATGCTACACTAAAGACCAAAAGCACAATCTTCAAGTTATATCTGTCAAAGAATTAATCACAAGTGTTAGACTGTTAGGATTTCTTTTTAATAAAAGAAATTATTTTCCTCAGGTACGCTAAAGATAATTATATTAGTGTGCACTACTCATCAAATTTTCAGCACAAGCAATTTTTTTGAGATTAAAGTATCAACCTAGGCATCAAAATGATACTAAAAATCAGATTTAAAACAATGGACAAAGGAAAACTCACCTCAGAGCAAGTTTGCACTGGGCCTCTGCCACAACCATGTTTCTTCAAAGGCAATGGATTCAACGAAATAACCTGCTTAGACTGAGCTGAGCTTGAAAATGATTTTCTTTGCGTTGCTGATGTTGATCCAATACTACTACGCTTTGTAGGGGCAAGAAGTGGCAAATTAGCCTCAACTTGGGCACCATCAAAACCATTTGTCTCAGAAGGTCCACAAAAAGGTGTCATTCTATGGCGACGAACATGAGGAATTGGCCTCATTGCAGATACTTTTAATCTCTTCCTAGCTGGAGTTAAGGATGTGCTAATTCCATTCACCATTTTTTTATCATTTTCCTCTTCATCTACTTTTCGAACAGTACCCTTCCCTGCAAAGACACCATCATGAAAGCCAGGGCTAATTCCATGGCTTGGTTCACACCTATTTCTTGTTGGAGGGGGTGGTTTGAACCAACCAGGGGGACTGCTGAAAATTATATTGTTTTTGTCTGCACAGCTATCTTTCTCATGAGTTTGATAGAAGAAAATTAAGCGCTCAGCATCATCTTTCTCAAAAGAAGCTATAGGCAAACCCTGAATACTTGCAATACCAAGTGCAACTAAACTTCGATAAGAAACATCAGGTGCTAGCTGCCTCAAAATCTGAAGCAAGTAACAAGACATAATTATAAATTTGAATAACAACCAAATATGCCTAAACCTATAGAACTCCAATTCTAATAGGATACAAAACTTTAGGTACTATACTTGGCATTATTTATAGGCAAAAATCCTCGGTACCATCCTGTTTCAATTCATTATTAAACATGCAAATGTAGATCATCTGATTTGGAAACAAGTTGAGCAGGTTGGTCCAAATTGAGTGTTTGATTACCAAGGACAATGAATGTTGGTTCTAGTAAGAACCATATTGATCCAGCCTGGTGTGCAAGTCATCAATTATCTTAGAACCATTCTTATAATAATAAAGCTAATCAACAGCATATTTAAATAATATGGTACTCACATTTGAAAGTGGGAAGACAGATGAAAGCAAAATCAATGGTACAGGGTAGTTGACAACAGTAGTAGACATCCAGAGGTAAAACTACTCTCTAATCAGTCCTAGTACAAAATTTGACATCAAAAGCATTATGACCAGTAAAGTAGGATAAATTCTCAACTTCTAGGTTTTATCTTCCCCCAAGAGACCAGCAAAATTTTGAGATGACCTCTCAGATAAAATAGCCCTCCTTCTGTTATCTTGATCCAAGAAATCCTTGCTCCAACATTTTCAATCCGCATCATGTTTATCTCGTGATTAATCATCCTATAAACTCTACTATGAGATTTAAAAAAAAAAATAGAGGTTTCTACAGAAATTCAAGTAAAGTTCAATTCTGAGACTTTTCCTTTGTATCAAACACAACTACATTGCTTCTTTTCCAATAGAATATTATTTAAAAATTTCCAATTTTTTTAAGCCATAGCATATAGAACTAGAACATTGATGAATCCCCTAGTAAGAAACTAGCAAGAAGAGAAGACTCATTCAGAAATCTTGATTTTAACTAGTAAAACAACACCAACACAGAGATAATTTTGAAATAAATGAGGTGAAAAGGAATGGGGATTACTTAAACCTGCAAAGCCCATAGAGGAAGCTTCATGCAAACTTCAAATACGGTTGCTCCACAAGCAATCGAAGCAGATCTGCGAGGTTCAGAGACATTCTGTTTGTCTCCCTCGTTGTTGAGTTGTACATGAATTAGTTGACTCTTCTCAATTATCTCATTTTTTATATGATTCTCCAAGTGCTAAGAAGTAAAAATGATAGGACAAAGAATAAGAATCAAAACTTTCAACAGGTAAAACTTGCAAAATGCATATCTTACACTTTAACTATTGACTTAATATTTTAAAATGGTTATTACACAATTTAATGGAAAAGAAAAAAGTCAAAGAACAAATTATTTCCAAAAAAATAAAATTGCTAAATAAAATTATGGAGACAAAATTGCCATATAACATATCTTAAGAAAAAAAATCAAAAATTACTTAAATGTTAAGAAACATAATGCATATCTATGCCTATAAAAAAAGTTGTTATGTGAGAGAAATGTAAGGCTGGTATTAAAAAATTAAGTAGCGTGTGCAAATAGCATTCATTGCTTGTTTTTGTAATAATAATGAAACCATCGTAGCATGCATATTTGGAGGATACCTGATCATTAAAACAAGTTTGAGCACTGCCAGATACTAGAAGTGAGATATGTGCAGAACTACAAGTTGATATATCACATCGCATGGTCACAACTCCACGATAAAAAGCAGCTGCCTGAAGAGGTGGTGGTGGGGCACTGTATCAGAGCAAGATATATATTACATGGTGGCAATACATATTCAGATGTCCAACATAGTTCTAATCAAAAATAAATGAACATAAAGGAATTAAAAAAAATAAAATAAAGAAAAAACCCATTTTAAGTGTGTTTGAATTAGCTTGTTTTGAAAATATGTCGCTTTTTTTGTAGCTTCTTGAGAGCTTTTGAAACAAAATAATTATATTTCCTTAGAGTTAGCTGAATCAAACATGCAGTAAGTCATCAACTGTGTAAGAAATAGTCATATACAAGTTATATCAGCATACCTAAACTTGCCATGGAGCTTGCAACCACGTATCTGAAAAGATAAAAATAAGAAAGTTGAGAAAACCTTTGGATATACCATCTTGAAGAGATTAAAAAATTGAAGTAAAAAGCTATCAAACACGAGAATGGTAAAAGGCCACTAAAATTACAACAGGGAGTTGTACTTTATGTTATATTACTTCCATGGAAAGACCAACACGTTGAATAGTGTTGAAAAAATAATACAGTCCAGCTTAGATTAACAGTAAACATTTTTAAATTAAAAATGGGTTATATATCTTAAGATTTTGCTAAAATGGGATTTTATCCAAGATAAATCTGATCAAACAATACAGTCAACATACTTCAATAGTTAAGAGAGCTCTGAGTCCATCCTCCAAAGATCTCAGCAACGACTCATCCTGAAAAGAAACAAGCCCATGTGTAATTGGCAAATAATGTCTCTGTGGATCCGACTGCTTATTGAGACTGCAATTACACATGCATGCATTGTTATGTATATGTGTGTGCTTCAAGTCTTTCTTTGTCCCACATTGAAAAATTTAGTTTCCCACATGTGGGGAGGTGTGTGTCAGTCTGGGACAGATACACAAACATTCGCATTACATAAACATGCATGTTTTCCACAGAAGCTTACAACAGTGGAAGGTGCACCGCAGATGAGAAATCTCAAGTTCACTTCATCATCATGTATCTTTATAGCAGGAAGACTGTCTGAGGAACTTTCTTCATCATCTTCTTCACCCATCTCGGGAGGGTCAACATTGATTTTGAGACAGTCGCCAAGAAGGTGTGGCCCCATCTCACTAGTAGCATCATGGCTGTCCACAGGAAGTACTTGACTGTTCTGAACACAGTAAAGTTCAAAAGAGGCACGAGCAAGGTGGAAAGCATCCCATGTATGTGTAGATGAACTACAATGAATTTGTGAACACCAATAACTGTTCAGTAATATCTCAAAATTCTTAAGAAAACCCACAATTTTGATTTCTTCTTCCTCTTTTTAATGAAAAGAAAAGGTTTCAAATATTGGATGGACATAGACAAACAAGTCATACAGGACTTTGCACACTCTGACCATTAATAATTCAAAACAAAAGATTAGTTAAATATTCATCGATTACTTTCATGACATTTGAACTAGACAAGTTCACAGGAAATAATTCCTTTCATAGATGACCCACTAAATGGATGCATCATCAAACGTGTACACATGACATAATCATACATCAATATGAATTGTATCAGAATGCAATAAGATTTAGAACATAAAAGACCATTTCATAGTGTGCGTGCACCACGTGCTTGCAACGTGCAATCAGATAAACAATATTATACCTCTGCACCACTGAGAGAAATGCTTGACGAAAATGGCAGGCAGCATAACAAGAAAAATTATTCTTCCAAAATATAACATATGGGATTCCCTGCAAAGTAAAACAGCTTGAATGAGCCAATTTCTCCCACAAAATTATCAGATTACAAGGGATTCTTTTGAGTGTGAGACATGGTCTTTTGTCATCACCCAATAATGATAGTTTGTTCTCCTTTGATACCTGAAAGTTTTCCCAAGAACAAAAAGTACCTTAAGATGAAGAGCCTCTGCAAAACTTTCTCCATCTGGGATTTCTAAATAAACCTGCAGAAATTAATAAAATCACATCAGACAAAATAACATACCCACAATGCCAACTGAGAGGAGGAAATGCCAATGAGGTACAAGATCAAAACAGATTATATAAATTTAAAAAGGTTGTAAATTTCAACAGGCAAGATTATACCATAAAATTTTGAGAAACACAAGTAAATTTCTTGAGCAATGTGTCCAAACATCACAAGATCTCCACACTCTAGAATTCTTAAATTCATTGTGTAATGAATCATTCAACCATCAACACTTTATGTTGTTAATTAGGCCTAAATATCACAATGACTGGTTCAATATTACATCAGTACAAATTTTGTAATACAACTGATCTAGGGAATACAGACCATGGTTTCTAACATTCTTCACAGTATGCAACCCTATTTCTTAACGTTCTCCTTCTTTCTCTCACAGTCCGTAGTAGTTAGTACTTTCCACCAAAACAAAACCCAGCAATTAACAAGATAGAAAGTAGCAATTTTACATACTCTCCCTCCCTTCACTGATCACAATATGTGTAACCTACAGCCCTATCAACAGAAAATACATATAAATAACAAAAGAGTGACTAAATATCCAGAATACATACAGCCGTCGGCAATGTGGGACCGAAGAGCTCTGCTATTGCTTCAGTGGTGGATAATTCCACACCTTGCCAAACCAGTGAACCAACTTCCCCATTCTCTAGCTGCTCTCCCTGTAAGTAAACAAAATTCGGTTGATACGACTCTAGAACTTTCTGAAACTGTTCCTTTTCCGGATTGCATAGAGTTTGAACCTGCATTAAAAATGATTCAAATCATGTTATTTCCTATTAGAGAAATATAATATAAAATTATTAATGTGGCCTTCACCTGACGTAATCTTTTGGGTTAAATTTATTTTTATTAGAGTCTACGTGACTAAATGATCACGAATTCGATCCCCTCTATTTTATTAATAACCTTTTTTAAAATTATGAAATTTCTTAGCGCTGATAAGTGACCCAATACATTGTCCATGTTTCAAAGTTCAAAGCCAATGAGCTCTTACGTGCGTATTAAGGAAATATAATATTAAGCTTTTGAATTGAATTGATTTTTTGTTTTAAAAAAAAAAAAAAAAAAACAACAACAACTAAGTGACACACAATACATACATTACATAAATTTCTAACCGCCGCCGCCGCCTAAGCCTGAAACCTGCATGACAATGCTATACATTTGTTAATTCTATATACCTCGAGACGCCCCGCAGAAACCAACTCAGGGAAAGGGTATTTGCGCTGATTCTGTGGGGGCTTGTGCTCAACACAGGTAACAGCAAGCAGAGTACAAGTCTGTTTGGGAACTCCTTGAGGATGAAACTGAAACATCATTCAAGCTAAAAGCAGCACCACACAGACAGAGACTGACGAAACCAAAGTGTAACCAAAATAGCTTCTGCAAATAAAAAAAAACAATTTAAGCAAATTTCACACTGTGATAGTTAGAGATCGACGGTAAGTTCCTACTATCCTCCACCAAAGAAAACAACATTCCAATACCGTTTCGCTCAGAATCGCTGGTTTTCGCGAAAACTAGGGAGGAATTGCGAGGTTGGCTTGCATAGTTAACTATGGAGAGAAAGAGGTGGTTCAATGGTGGCGAGGTCGAGAGAAACTAAAAGGAATTGCAAATCTGAAAACCCTAATGCGATATTGGGATTGGGATTGGGATTAGAGGTTAAAGATTGAACAAATAAAAAGATGAAGAACTTCTCCTGCTGGGTTTTCTAATAAACGACGTCGTTGCAATTCTTTTTAGGGAAATCTTTTTCTAAATTTAGAAAGGATATTGTAACAAGAATTCAATATATTTTTAATATATTTTATTCAAATAATAGAAAGAATTAAAAAAATGAATAAAAAATAAATAAATCATATTTGAATTAGACAAATTGTATTAACATACGTTGGATCAACATAATTGATCTAACGATGAGATTGATTGATAGTAATACAACTTGGTTGTTACAATATCCTTCTCCTTTTAAATAAATTATGTTATGTTAGTCAACTATAATTATAAGAGGGTCCCACAGATGATTGAAGAAAAAAAAAAAAAGTGGGACCCATTTTGATTATGCGTATGTAGAAAAATGCGTTATCTTGAATGAGATAAATATAACCTTTTTTTATATCTATTTTTTTTTTCAAAATTATGCTGAAAGTAAATTGTTTCTTTACTAGTTTGTATTATGGGCTCAATTTTTCTCATATATCAAGCTCAATTAAATGCACATATAAGTTCAAGTGGAGTCTATTATTTTTTGAAAATAAAAAATAAAAATAAAAAATGCTAGCATATTTCTCCATGAGTGTGCAATAGAGAGAAACTCTCTTATATTATATAAAAATTATATTTTCCTTATATTATTTCTTTCTCCGAAATATAAATTGCAGAAAATGTTCATAATATTCTGAATAAATAAAGTCAGGTTATATTCTCTGTTATTTAATTTTTTTACCATAATTTCTATTTTTCAAGTACATTAAATGCTTTGAGTACAAGGATTAACTTTGCTTACAAGCCATTAATTTAATCCCTCCAATGAAATAAAAGTAACATAACCCTGTTTCAAATAAATATTAGTCTCAGGGGAGGGAGGGGAATTATAAAGACCTAGGAGCGATCAACTGTAGCAAACGAATAATATTGGAAATTAAAATTTTCTAATTAACGTATTTTTTATTTTTAATTATAATGGTTATATTATAAAAGTGTCCGTTAAATATAAATTGTGATGATAAACAATTATCCAAAGAAAATACTTTAAATTTATCTCTTTATTTCTCAATCTGTCTCTGAATTTTCGCTAATTAGATTCTCTTCTAAATTATGGAATGAAGATATTAAAAAACTTAAAAATTCCGATACGATTGCTGCATATTGTTTTTGACAGTTAATAATTTCAAACAGTTAAATATTTTGTCGAATCAACTAGATTTTCTCGAGTTTATAATAATGTTACAATCTTTATTTTATTAATTCGAAATCTTAAGAATTACGGATTATGATATATATATATATATATATATATATATATATAAATAAATAAATAAATAAATAAATGCAAAAAGAAAAAATGTATTGTTTGACGACACTGTTCATGTGAACAGTACCGCACAAAAAGCGGGAACAGTGACCATTTTGTCATGTTTGGCAAAAAAATTTACCAAACTGCCACGCCAACAGTAAATTTTGCCAAAATGTCTCGCGGCATATTTCGCTACACTGTGTAGCGAAATATGTTTGCAAGTAATTCGCTACACAATGTAGCGAAATATGCCATGTCAGGCTGCACAGTCAGCAAAAATGACATGTGTCAAGCAGCAGAAATTCGCTACACTGTATAGCGAATTATGCTTGAATTCTGCCTGCTTGACACGTGTCATCTTTTGCTGTGTGCATTCTGACATGGCATATTTCGCTACACTGTGAAGCGAATTACTTGCAAACATATTTCGCTACACAGTGTAGCGAAATATGCCGCGTGACATTTCGACAAAATTTACTGTTAACGTGACAGTCTGATAAATTTTTTTGCCAAACGTGACAAAATGGTCACTCTTCCCAAAAAGCGCCAGGTTGGTGCAAAAAACTTTGTGAGGAGAGTTTGGCGCAAAAGCCACCACTATGTCTCACAAATTGACACATAAAACACAATTTAAATAAAATTGGAGCTAGTGCAAGATGCGTCATGTTGTATCACAAGTGAACACTTAAATCGCGTGTTAATTGGTGTTGTGTAATTAATTGGGGCACCTAATGTCGTATGTGTGTATAGAAAATTATATCATTAACACGTGTAAGCACTCTAAGGAGACTCAAAAATTTTATCTGATGACGATACTTAGTAAGATTTTATCTGAAAAATAATGATTGTTTAGTTAGAATTTTTTTATTTACATAGTGATTAAGTTAGCATATTATCTATACATATAAATAACCATCTGACAATGGAAAAGAAAAAAAAAATAGCAAGAGAAAGAGAGGAAATGAGAGAGAGAGAGAGAGAGAGAGAGAGAAGGAAACAGAGAGCAAAAGGGAACAAAAATCAGAGAACAGAGAAAGGAGAATTTGAGAAAAAAGAAAAGAAAGGAAGGAAGAGAGTGACAGAATAAGGAAAAGAAAGGAAACAGAGAGCCATAATTCAAGAGAAAAGAGAGTAAACCAAGAAGAGAAAAGAGAGGAGCAGAGGAAACAGGAGAACATGAAGAGAAAAATAAAATAAGAAGATAATATTGAGAAAAAGTAACTCATTCTCTCCTTTTATTTTCTAAAGTTGATTTTTAGATATTTTAAAAAGTTATGTTGATGCTTTTTTTATCTATTTAAAGTTGATATTTTAAAATTATTTTTTTTAAAGCCATGAATGTGTCGTTACTCTGTCAAATTATTTTCTTATGGATTTATTCTTCTCTTTTGTTTTATTTTCTATCTTTGTTATTATGTATTTGTTGAATATGAACATAATGATTATAAGAATGATGAGAATCAATTCAAGACTACAGAACTAAAGAATTCCTTTGGTACCAAATAAACATTATTGGATATGTAAACTTTTACTGAATGATTCTAATTTGAATGACCCACAAGGGAATCAGATGGTTATAGGGAAAGGGAAGCCTTATCATGACTTGCTCTTCCACATAGAACCTTTCACATACAGAACTCATAAAATTTGGCCGCTCACAGAATTTGAACATTAGTCATTTTAGTTTAAGACGACACGTTCCTTTATATATTTGTATGCAGAAATCCACAAAGGTTTGAATATGTTTGTATGTGGAACCTACAAAGGTTTGGTATGTCTGAATGAAGAACTCACAAAGGTCTGAGCTTATCTTTATTATTCATGATATTATTTTCTTAATATAAACATATTTGAGAGAATGATATTTTTTACTAAAATGGCTGGATTGATTATAGTTTGAAAACCTCAATATTACTGTGATTATCTCACATGTGTTTGTTTTTATGCTAACCTTTCTAGAGAATAAACATATCGGTATGTGTAACTTTGGATTAGGGTAAAACACTATGATTAAAGACTTTGACCGTAAGGAGATCGATGGAATGATTGATAGAATAATTTTGTTTTCAGTTTAGATTATGATGTAATCTATGCTATTTCAAATGTAATAGTAAACTTGACTTCTATATAATTTAATTTTAAGAATATTTTATCGTATGTCTTAGTTCTTATCCGTTGTGATAGAATCTTATTATAATTCTTCTTCTCTTATTAAAAACTATAGACAATAAATTTTTCATTTTTAATATTAATGGAGCCAATCAACTTATTATTATTGTCGTTATAATCAATATCAACAATAATGAAACCAGTCAATTGTCAGATATAATAATTAATGGAACCGGTTTACATCAATACAAATTAAGGGGGGAAAAATTATAAAATAATGGCATGGACCTATAACTTACAAGTTACGCAAACTCTTTACCATAAAATCAATCGATCCTAATAGCTTAAATTAGGAAGAGTTTTATGCCCGCCCATCAACTTTTCACTCGAATCAATAGGATTTTGGGAGTGCTTCGCTTCGTGTGTTTCGGTCGTTCGTTCTTCATCAACGTATATACTATTAACGTTGTGCAGACCGCAGATCCTTCATCTCGATCATTGAATTTAGTTCCTTTGATCAGGTATATATATATATGCATTTTGTAATTTCTATATATTATGCCTTAAAATAACTCTCGTTATATATAATTAAGTCTCTCATTCCTCTTCGATCTCTTTAATTTCTTAGATTGCAATAATGGGTCTTTTTGAAGCAAATACGGCAACAAATTTAAAGCCAAACACACGCAAGAGAAAGATTGAAATCAAGAAAGTGGAGCAAAAGAATCAAGAAAGCGTGATTGAAATCAAGAAAGTGAAAGAAAAGAATAAGGAAAGCGTGATCTTCTCCAAACACAAAGTAGGACTTTTTAACAAAGTCACTGAACTATCCATTCTATGCGAGGCAGAAACAGCATTGGTACTCATCAACTCTGAGAATGGAAATAACCTCAATGTTTGTGGCTACCCAAACCCTGACACTGTCATTCAACGCTATCTAGCAAGAGGGTATTTGAATTTGGATCCCGATCCCAACCAATATGCCCGTGCCAATAAAAGGAAGAAGCAAGAATCAGTACTTGAAACCTTAAGTCTGGAATATGACACAGTTCCATACACCATACCCATTGAAACCCTCATTCAAGAAAGACACATCTGATAAGCTTTGCATCGGTGATGATGCAACTGGTAATGGTTGAAGTGCAACTGGCAATGGTGGAAGTGAATTATCAACCTCCTTCTTCTTCTTCTTTTCCCTTGCAGCAACAAGTTTTATCTTCAAATCTTCTAAGCAATTCTTGAATTCCTCAACTTGTTCAAAACCCATATCCTCGAGGGAGAGATCCCACCATTCAGTGAATACCAAACCATTCTTTTTTCCCTCAGTGGTATCTTCATGATGCATATTCTCTTCTTTCAACTTAGCTTCAGTTGCCTCATATTTCAGCTTTAGGGTTTCGACACCCTCTTGAAACCTCCTTTTAGCAGCACGGTTGTGATACCCTTCTTCGCCTCCTTCGGCGCCACCGTGGTAGCGGCGGATGACGGAGTCCGGATCGGGTAGCCACAACCATACTTGTTTGCATTTCGAGAAGGTCGCGCAGTTTTTGCTTTTTTCTTCCACTTTCTTGATCTCAACCTTTCCCTTTCGTATGTTTGACTTTCTTACATTGGAAGAATCCATTGTTATCAAAAGACAAAAAAAAACAAGAAAGAAAGAAAAGACTGAGAAAAGAAAAACAGGAAAGAGAAAAGACAGACAATGTTCCAAAGAAAAGGAAGTTCCGAGAATACTTTTACTGTGCGAAGATTTTTGGAGGATTTCCCTTTTATTACCCCTCGCTCAATCTCCCCTTTTTTTTCCTTTTTCTTTTTAATTATCAAATTATATCTTTTGATTTTAGAGGATATCTTTTGATAGATAATATAACTTATCTCAAATAAATATTAATCTCACATGAGTAAAAAAGTATTATCATTCGTTCTGTACTAACTACTACACACCGCAGCACGCATGAACTGTGAATTAAATTTTTTTCGATACATGAATTAAAAATTTTAATTATTGTATTTTTTAATTTTTAATTTTATTTTTAATTATCCGTTGCTATATTATAAAATTCTTCGTTAAATAAGGCATTATGATAATAAAAAATTATTGAAAGAAAATGTTCCGGGTTCATACAGTGAGCCGTACTTGCTCGTAAGAGTAAAGGACACGGAACCCGGATATATTTTACCCGGATAGGCGGTTTGTCATGTCAGTGAGTATTACACGTAGTGGAGTTAGCAGTTGATTGAGTCAGCCAGTATTACAAGTAATGGAGTTATAAGTGAGCCTACCATGATGCCATGATGGTATCCACCACTTCCATAATAAAGGTAACTGTTCAGAAGCTAGCCCCATATATACACCAAGGATAGAGATAACAAAGGAGATAACCAGAATAGAGATCCAGACTAATGTTCGTCCAGAACCGAAAATATTTTAAATTTGTCTTTTTATTTCTCAATCTTGTCTCTAATATTTTCGTTTAGATTCTCTTCTAAATTGAGGAATTGAAAATATTAAAAAAAAATTAAATTCCAATAGGATTGCTGCATATTATTTTTGGCAGTTAATAACTTCAATCGGTTATTTTATATATTTGAATATAATTTTGAATTTTAAATAATATGTTTTTTTTTTTCTTGATAACAATAATATGTTAGTTAGGATACATATTACAATTCCACGATTTACATGTCTTTTTCCCCTTAACCGATATCAAGTAATATCTCGATTTTAATTACATTGAGTACAATCTCTTGTTTCCCTTTTAAATTTTATGCCATCCTTACAAATTTGCACAAATTAGAGGAAACTCACGTGCATTACTCTAGTCAACCATAATATATTGAGTTAATTGATTTGTCCTTATTTCTATTAATAAATAGAGCCAATAAAATTTTCATTATTAATATTAATAGAGCCAATCAACTTTCTATTTTTGTCATTATAATTAATATCAATAATAATGAAACCAGTCAAAATTCTGTTATAATAATTAATGGAGGCGGTTTACATCAATACAAATTAAGAATGAAGAGTTTTATGTCCATCAACTTTTCATTCGAATCAACAGGATAGGATTTTGGAAGTGTTTTATGCGTTTCAGTCGTTCTCCATCAAAAGATATGCATTTATCAATTTCTATTATGCCTTAAAATAGAAATCGAGTGAATTAATACTGCAGATCCTTCATCTCTTAAATTTATCAAGGATAGATAGATCCTTTAATCAGGTATGCATTTTGTAATTTCTATAAATTATGCCTTAAAATAATTCTGGTGCACGGATCTGGATCCTCTAATGTGAAAATTCACATGACCATGTAATGTGGGAAATCATAACCATACGAAGGTAGATTAATGGTAAAAAAGGAGGAGAGAAAAATAATAATAAAATAGGTAGTTACGAAATCATAACCGTTGATTTACCTTTGTATGGTTGTGATCTTCTCACATAACCATATCATGTTTTTTTAGCACATTAGAGGATCCATTTCCTGCAGTTTTATTGTTCTTTGTGAAAACTAATTACATTTTGTAAAAAATTAAAATGGGTTGTAGTAACAGGAAGTAACTATAAAAGATTAACGTATTCTGGTAATAAAAGAATTTTAGGAACAAGGAAATTGATGTAAAAGACAAGTTTGTTAATAGTTAATGTGATAAGTTATTCAACCTATCATTTTTTCTGTCTACCTTTGCCTATCACTATAAAAGACCGTTAGATTAGAATCTTAATTAACATTTATCTTTCTCTCACTTCTTTAGATTCTGATCTAACAGTATTGGAGAGTGGTAGGCAAAGGTAGACAGAAAAAATGGTAGGTAGAATAACTTATCCCATAGTTAATTAACAAAACTTTCGGATAGCTAGGTAGCTCTATATGTATTAAGGGAAAGGTTATTCTGCCTACTCCCATTTTGCCTACATTTGCGTACCCCTATCATTCATTACCGTTCGATTACAATCTAATCCAACGGTCCATATTTAAGAAATAAAATAAATTTTTTTCTCCTTTCTTTCTCCTCACTTCCTTCTACACCCTTTCTCTCTTCCTCTACGCCATACCGGAGACATTTTTTTTTCCTTCATCGCTGGTATAATAATCGGTGTTGGATCATTATATATGAGAAATAATTACATGAAGCTAAATATATATACATGGAGCTATACATTAATCGAACGGTCCATATATAAACTAAACATTAATCACTGGTATAAAAATTGGGTTTATATTTAGTTTATATATATTTATATACATGAAGCTAAATATATATGAGACAACTTTCCGTTCGATTAAAATTGGGCTTTACGATAGCCTCTGATCACGGTGTTCCACATGTAAGTATTGGGTTCATCGATTTGGTCGAAAAGAATGAAGGAAAAAAAATGTCTCCAGTATGGATAGAGGAAGAGAGGGGGGGGGGGGGGGGGGGGGGGGGGGTGTGGGAGGAAGTGAGGAGAGAGAAAGGAAAAAAAGGGTTTATTTTATTTCGCAAATACGGACCGTTGGATTAGATTGTAATCGAACGGTAATGAAAGGAGTAGGCAAATGTAGGCAAAATGAGAGTAGACAGAATAAAATATCTCTTTATTTTCAATACGACATTGTTTTGGTATTGAAAAATTAAAAAATTATAATTATAAATATTATAATAACCCTGAAATAAATTAAAATTACAAAAACATCATAATTTTCGTTCCAAAACAACGTCGTATTGGGTTTACTGCAGATAATTTATCAGCAGTAACTATAGAAAAAATGAACCCTTATTTTAATTACCTAACGAAATGTTTGAAAAAAAAAAAAAATATATATATATATATATATATATATATATATATATATTTTAAAGTAAGGGAATAACTCCCAAAAAATAAAATAAAAAAATAATAACTAACTATCACCTAGCTGGAAGATTCCAACCTTCATTACATTAGTGATCATAACAAGGATATTAAGTTCTAGAGGAGGTGCATGAATAAATTGCATTGTTATTCTGTCAGCACAAAAGTATTATTACCCTTTTTATAAAGGGTTTCTCTTTTCTCATTTCACATGGGATAACATCTCTTATGCTATAGACACAATAAGTGGTAGGTTCCACCACATGTTTAAAAAAAATAGCACGAATTTCGATATCTCACAACATGAGAAAGCAATATCCAACAACATAAGAAAATGATTTCCCTTTTATAAACGAGGTTTATTTGTACAATCTATTCTCTTGATAGTAAGGAGAGAATAATATTCAAAAAAGAGAGAGAGAGAGACAGAATAGGCATGTGATAACCTCTAACAGAAATTAAAAACGAAAATGAAAAAGGAAAACAAAAAATCTCTAACAAATTTTCGCATAAAAAGGAAATTGCTAGATAGATTATTATTGTTGAGATAAATTATCAACTGCCATCAAGTTGTTGTTCCTATAAATAACTAGAGAGTTGTTTAATGGCTTGCATTGTCGCATACCCAGGTTCACTGGCGGACCCAGCCATGGGCAAATGTCCGCAAGTGCCCACATAAAATTTTGGATTTTTTTTTTTTTTTTTTTTTTTAGCTTTGTAGGTATTTATTTGTATGTTGATTCAATATTTATATTAGGAGTAAATATCATTTTAAGTTTCTAATAAAAAACATGGTCCCCACTTTAGTCTCTTATCAAAAATTAGTCTCGAGGTCCCTACGAAATTCAAAGTGAATCAATTTAGTTAAAATCGTGGTTCCTCACTAATTCAAAAAAGACCTAAATTAGTTACTCAAAAAGACTAAAATGAGTTCACTTTAAATTTCATAAGGACTAGGTAACTATTTTTTTTTATAATAGACTAAAGTGAGTACCGAATTTTTTGTTGGAGACCAAAAATGATATTTATTCTTATATTAGTTAGCAACGTACGGAGATGATTAAAATAACGTAGCAACGCTCTCTTCCTCCCCTACCATGTACCCATTCTCACGCTCTCTTCATCTCCTTTGTTTCCTTTCTAGACAAGGCCTTCAGTGTGATTTTGCTTGTCTTCTGTACAAATAGTGTTGACTTTTTTATTCACCACTATAAAATAGAATAGAATGATGATGTATGGATGTACTTAAGTATATTTTCATATTTGTTTTGGAGGATTGGTAAGATTTAAGAGAAAAAATGATGGGTCAAAATATTGCCTGCAGCTTGTTATGGAAGCAACTAGATTATGAGCGAGTTTAAGCGTTAACTTAAACTTTTTTTACAAAAAAAATTTGGGAGCACCCGCCACTAAATGTGCGGACATAAACAAATTTTTCTGGGTCCGCCACTGCCCAGGTTGATCATAAAAATTTGTCCAAACCACTAACCGGTAAAAACAACTTGTTGTGGAATTGGCATTAAGTCACGCCAGATATGCTATTGCCAGGTTCTACTATAAAACTAGCGGACATGACCTCCGTATGTACACAAAATTATCTCTAACCGCTATTTCACAATTTCAAAAGTTGCTTGGAATTTCGGAAAAGACCAACTCTCTACAATGGTCATTCCCTCCTCCTATTCTAGTGTTGTATGCAATTCTTGTCATCCAATTTTTGAGCATATATATGTTTGAATCTTGAATTGTTTATTAATTATAAAGTTACATGAAATAATAACATTAGAATAGAAGCTTTATTTCTAAATAAAATGAGTGATGATTATTAATGGTTTACGTATGTACAGGTGAACACGAGGTTTATGTTTAAAGCGTTGATGCTTTCCTCATCAATACTAGTGTTTCTATCGAGCACAACAAACTCATCCTATGTATTGGATCCCGAAACTCTTCTCAGGACATCTTTGAAGGAAACTAATTTGTTAATTAATGAACCTAAAAAAGGTTATATTGAGTCATACTATGAGGATCCCAAAAGACACATCAAGTCAGCAACTTTTGTGTCTAAAAAGTTTGAAATGAGACCAGGATCAATTATCGAGAAACAAATGGTAGATATTGATTTCCCAAGAGGTCATGTTGGTATTAAGAGTTTCGATGCTGAACTAATTGATGAAAAAGGGAATCCTGTACCTTTGTATGAAACTTACCTCCATCATTGGTTTGCTTTAAGATACTTTGAAGATCCAAAATCAACTAAGAGTCTTAAGGAAAGATCCATTTTCGTGAGAAACCAAGGCACATGCCAAGGTGGTGTTCTTCCACATTATTGGGGCTTGGGAGGTGAATCACGAGGAACAACCTCAAACATTCTAGATCCTTTTGCAATAGAAGTGGGTAACCCGGCAGAAATTCCTAATGGGTTTGAAGACAAATGGTTTTTCAACATCATGGCCATTGATACACGTGGCGTACAAGACAGGAGAGGTTGTTCTGAATGCAGATGTGACCTTATAAATATCACAAAGGAATTCCTTAGTACCAAAAAGGGTCCTGATGGCAAACCATTGGACCCTGATTATAAGGGAGGGGTCTTTTGTTGTGATGACAATTTACAATGCAAATTGAGAGAGGGATTTCAAGCCCCAACTAGAAGACTTGCCTTGAGATACAAAATAAGGTGGGTTGATTGGGACAAATTCCAAGTCCCTGTTAAGGTTTATATACTTGATTCCACCGATAAGGTCAGGTCGAATGGCTCCAAAACAATCCATGAGTGCAAGGTAAATAACTTATGAATATACACTTAATTTTTAACTACACTTTTCAATGTGAATTGAATTCCAAAATCTATTAATTTGTTGGGATCGTGTGAGTATAAAATATTTGTCAATTTGTTACAGGTTGAATATATGATTCCGAAAAATGGTAATAGCAATTCCCCTCATGTCCAAAAAGCAAACATTCCAATGGAAAAAGGCGGTTATCTCATCTACGGCACTGCTCACATGCATACCGGTGTTGTTGATGCAACTTTATATGGACAGGTGAAGTTCAATATTCGCCATCATTCTCGTGATGATAGATTTTTTTGTGTGCTTGATTTGTATTAAAGTCATAAATTTTCTTAATAATCCATACAATTGTACGAAGACATTTATTGAATTTTGTCTTCACTTCTAAAATTTATGTTTTTTGATTAATTTAGGATGGAAGGATTTTGTGTACTTCAACACCAAAATATGGAACGGGAAAGGAAGCAGGAAATGAGGAAGGTTATGCTGTTGGAATGTCTGTTTGTTATCCACAACCAGGTACTGTCAAGATTGATGATGGTGAAACTTTGACCTTAGAATCAAGATACAAAAATGATTTTACCATCGGAGCTATGGGGCAATTCTACATCTATTTGGCAGAACGACTACCACAAGATACATTGACATTATAATTCCTTTTATCTACATCTTGAATAATGCAGAGCTTTTTTTTTTGCATATGCAATCTAGTGATCAATCATATTATTCCAACCTTGAATATTGTATTATAAAGTAAACATTCTTTTATGTAAGTGTTGTTATCGCGATCACGGCAAGTGCACCGGTTGTACAAGTAATAAAGTGTAATGAGTAAGAGTATCGTTCCCATGAGGATTAAATTTCAATCCCTAATTCACTATTTACGCTTAAGTTGGAAAATCAATCAAGAGAGAAGAATCAAATTTAAATTAAAAAATAAAGGGAAAATATAATGAGTAAGTAACTAGCCAATTAAGAAAAGCAGCTAGGGATATTCGATTTCCCTCAATTTCTCTTTTATGTTATGGATTTAAACCCTTGATTGAACATCCTTTTTCATATCACCAATCGATTCTTCTAAGTTAATTATTAATCGATCCTTTGACATCCTAATTATTTACTCTCTTTAAAGAATCCTAATTCCCCGGTTGTTCTTCAAAGAAATGGGTTGTAATAACCGGAAGTAACTATAAAATATTAATGTATTCTGGTAATAAATAAATTTTAGGAACGGGGAAATTGATGTAAAAGACAAATTTGTTAACAGTTAATAAACAAAACTTTTGGATAGCTAGGTGGCTCTATATGTATTAATAGAGATAGCTAATTAAGGATTTCAAAAAAGGAAATATATTTAAGCCTACTCCCTTCTTAATTATTTGTTTTATGCTTATCACTTGGGTTTTGGAGAGGTAAACAAAAAATTCCAGCACTCTGAATTAATGAAAACTTTTTACTCAGATAATAATAACCCACATTATGAAATTGTCACTAAATTTTTGTTTCGGCATAGTAATGTAAAGACTAATATATTGAACTTCAATTAACATCTACTTAACTATATATGTTATCAATAACGATCAAAATTCACAGTTAAGAATCATGGAACTAATACAATCTTGTACTTGATTCCCCATGTGGTTGAAGTGAATTTAATTTCTTCTCTTGTGCTACAGCAACCAAGTTAAGCTTCAAATGTTTCAAAGAAGTCTTGAAATTCTCAAAATCGCTCAAAGCCATCTCCTCAATGGAATTTTCCCACCAAGATGGGAAGAAGGAACCAACCATGATTTGTGCCTCCGTGGTTGCTTGTAGATGCATCCTTTTCTCCTCCAAATGAGTCTCAAAGGCCTCATATCGCAGACTTAAGGTTTCAATTGATTCACCGGCCGACTTATATTGTTGCCAATGTGTGCAAGTGCAAATATAAAAAAAATAATTTCGTTTGAAATAGCAAAGTTTGATATATGTGAATAGATGGTGAGCCATCTCTCATTACAAGAAAATTGATTTTCAGAGGCGGTTACATTTGGATTTTGAGGTAGTTTAAACCGTCTCTAAATACCTAGTTAGGCGGTTCATGAACCGCCTCGTTTACCACCGTCGCGAGAAAAAATGCAGCCATTTTCACAAACCATTGGAATAATCGCCTCTACATGACAATCTGAGACGGTTATTTTAACCGCCTACAAATGACAATCTGATGCGGTTATTTTAACCGCCTGCAAAAGTCATTCTGAGGCGGTTATATTAATTGCCTTCAAATAACGTGTAACCGCCTCCAAATAGTTAAAATTATATCAATTTTAAATTTTTAATAATAAAATTATTTTTTTTAAAAGTTAATATTGTTTTTATTTTTATATTTTTATATTATTATTTTTAAATTTTTATTTTTAATATAATTTTTGACAAAGATTAGTTAGTATAACTTTTTTTTAAAATTATTTTTAAAAGTTAATATAATTTCTATTAGTTGAATATAAATAGTTTATTGAATTTTGTATATGTGTGTGTTAGTTCGGGTTGCTATATAAAAGGTAATGGAGAAGGGGGAACAAGGGTCATCCAATGTGGGATGAGATGGTTTTTTTCAACGTGCAATAACCATCCTTGAAAATTTTGTAAATAACACCAGATGATTAAACTTAAAAATCTGAACGGTCAGGTTAAAGTATTACAAGATATGAACACACTGACCAAATTTGAGAACGATCTAACGGCTGACCAAAGAGATCTCCCTCTTTTTCAATCTCACTAACTGATAGACCATGAATCGCCTCTAAATATGCTTTCGAGGCAGTTATTTTAACCACCACTAATGTACATTTGGAGGCAGTTGACATGAAATCACCTCCAAATGTGTACCAGAGGCGATTAAAATAACCACCCTCATTTACCATTCGAAGGTGGTTACATTAAAACCGCCTCTAATTGTTACATTTAGAGGCGATTACACCTCAACCACCTCTGAAAAATTGCCTCTATGTGTTAATCAGAGGCGGTTTAAGGGAAACCGTCTAAGTTACACCTTCCAAATACCAATTTTCTTATAGTGTCCATTACTGCAGGATTTGCTATGTGAATAGCTTGAAACAACTTGAAGAGTCACTACAAAAATTCAAGCATTTTGTGGGGGTCATATTTTCATATTGTGGGGGACTTTGACCTCCACAAAATACATTTGTGGCATCTTCATTGACCCCCAGTTTTACCTACGCCATAACATATTTTGTAGGGTCTTTATGTGCAGCGCCGCAATTTGTTGAAATATTTTCCGGAGGTTTCAGACCCCCACAAACGTTTCAGTTTCTGGAGGTTTAAGACCCCACAAATTTGTTGAAAATTTTAAAAAAAAATCATTTAAAATTTTACATTTCTTTTAAAAAATCAGGCAGATTCAAAAGTATAAAAAAAATTCATTCCAAATATTTGAATACATATCTAAATAGAACTTGGTTTTCAAAGATAAAAAAATCAAAAAGTTGTATAAATGAAATTAAAAACTAAAAGTTATTAAAAATTGATAACTATTCATGCAGGCCAAAATTTGAAAGTTATCCTGTTTTACAAGTAGCCTCATATCCTACAATGATATAAGGTCCTATATCATAAACTATTCATATCATAAACATGTCATAGACAATATAACCATTGAAAATCATAGCACCGATTCCACCATATATAGCATGGGCTGTTGGTCCAAGAGGGAAGAACATCTGCACCAAAGGACAACAAGTCTTAAGCAAGAGAAAAGTTGCAACTTGCAAGCATCAATATATACACATATATACAACATATATGGTGCAGTGCACTCAACTAGAGATATCATAATCATAATGATGATGAAATAAGAGAGTGAAACCTAACCTGCATCATGCCAGTGAGGAAGAGGGTAACGAGGCAGGTGAACAATATTGGACCAAGGTAGCTAAAATCCTTGCCCTTCTTGGAAGCCCAAAAGGCATAGCCAGTGAGAGAAGAAGCAACTGCCGAGGTCAAAATCAATGCCTCAAGAACAATTTTTCCTGCAAGCATTCATTCATTCCAATAGACATATAATCAGATCAACCACAAACAGAATCCACTGATTTTGAATCCTATATATAATCAATCACAAAATGAATGAATGATACGAACCATCCAAGTTAGCACATGTCACTCCAACAGTGAAGCTAATTGAGATGGTGAAGACTGAAGAGTCCAAGAAAGATATAATTATGAGGATGCTTTTGCTGGTACTTGAGTAAAGGGATCAAGACTGCAACATGTTTCAAATTATTCAAATACGTCAATTGAACCATAACATAATAAAAATAAACTATAATCAGGCCACTCTATTTTCCCTCTTGGGCTTATACCTTGTAGGAAGTTTATGATATAGGACCATCATTTTCAGAGTTTGATAGTTCATGTTCAACTTTCTCTAATCCTTTGTTTATACCTTGCATCTCCTCTGCCACAAACTTCAACTGGACCTGGATCGTAATCATAGATGTTAGTTCTAACAAATATACTATTTCCATCACCATAATGAAGTGAAGAGCCTTGGAGGAGTACAAAACCTTTGCAGCTAGCTCGAGGTTAGCAAGATCCTTGGAGAAGTCTAAAACTTCTGGTAGTTTATCTGCCAGAACCCATGGGTAAGCATGATATCAAATAATAACAAGCACAAGGGAAGAAGTTACTATTAGTGGATACAAAATTAAACTTTGTTAACATAAAATTATATCATTAGTCTTACATGAGAGTCAAACTCGCTATTACATACTTTACTTCAGTATGAACTTTAAGCCCAAATCGTTCAAGCTGATGGAGAGTGAACTAATAACAACATATGTTAATAAAAATTGCTCGTTTAGAAGGAGTGATGCCAGGACATGTCTATGTAAATTCAATTTTTTTATTCTTTTGTACACCTCTATTTGTCACATTACCATATATATAAAGCAAATAGGAGAGTTTCATATAAGCAAGGCCAACCTCCTCTTTCTTTTTTGCCCCCTCTTCTTTTTTGAGTTTTTTCTCTTTGGCCTAAAAACAAAGTTAATAGAATAAAGTTAAGGCACAAAAAGGAACAAGCATGGAATGAGAATTGGTCTATTATTTCTTCTCTGGAAATAATATAATTTGCTAGACGAACTCAAATACAAGCCCAACTCCGTTGACAGTGAATACTAAGATTGTTTGGTCTATTATTTCATTCAAATAACTCAAAAGAAGAAATTAATCTTTTGAATAACTCCATTAAATTATAGGAAGTCAAATGCAATTCACTCAGGTATTTCACATAAAATCGACGATCAAGGTTAAAAGTAGGAAGAACTGTATAACTGAACGAGAAATAAGAGGCATTTGGACATACCCTAAGCCACAATGCATTCCTCGCTAGTGGCGCTAGCCTGGTTGGCTTGGCACTCAATACCTAAAATCAGTGAACAAAAATTAAATTAGGGGAATCTTATCAAATCGGATAAACACGAATTGAAACAACATGCTTACATAGATCCATGATGTTCCATAGTCAAGTACCGATCGATGATTTGCGTGAAATAAGAGAGAAATTAGGTGAGAAAATGTAGAGAGAGAAAGTAGAAAAAGAATGAGAGAGAATCAGAGAATGAGAAAAAGAAGATGAAGAGCAGAAAATGGGCGCGAGAGAGAAAAAGTTATCGTTGTAGCCTTCTGTTTTCACCCACACTTGATATTGGGGATTGAGATTGGGCGCGTTTGGTTTTTCTTTATTCGATTTAAGGCCTTCTAATTTAGCAAAACAGAATGGGAACTAAATTGTGCAGGTTTAAAAGTTAAAACCCACCAGAAATTAGATTATTTAGTGGAGGTTTTTTAATCTCCAGTAATCATCCCTTTTTTGTAGTGAGTAAAGTTCTTTTTGGGTCCTCAACACAAATCACGAGGCTCATTTTAATTTCTAAGAAAAAAATTCGACTTGAGATTCTTCTTAAATTCAAAATAGACACAGTGAGCTGAAATCATGGTCCCTCTGAAATTCTATAAAGACTCTCGTTAGTCCCTTAAAAGAACTAACATGGGTTTGTTTTGAATTTCAGAGGGACCACGAGTCAATTTTTTTTCTTAAGGAATTAAATTGGTCCATGTAAATAATTTGTTGAGGACCCAAAAGGTACTTTACTCTAGCTTGAAATAATATTTACAAAAATGAGATATATGTGAAATAGCTAAGCTTGATATATGTGACCTCGAAGATGTACTAACGTTGTGCACACATGTGTCAAATGTAAAAAGAAAAAATGTATTGTTTGTTGACACTATTCATGTGAACAGTACCGCACAAAAAGCACCAGGTTGGCGCAAAAAACTTTGTGAAGAAAGTTTGGCGCAAAAGCCACCACTATAAGGGGTGTTAACGGGCCGAGCCGAGTCGAGCTTTGGTCTTAAAAAACTAAATCTATGTTTAAATGTACCAGTCTGACCAAGCCTTTTACCTGTTATGAATATAATTTTAGCCTGTGGCCTCTCTTATTTACAAAAAATAAAAGTCTGGTTTAGCCTGTTTAAAAAAAATAAGACAACAAAAATTTATCCAAACAAAATATACAATCAACAACACTAGTAATTTCATAAATATTCATAAATTTAATGTATATCCAAACAACATAATATAAAACAAAATCATTCAAAAAGTCTGTTTAATTAATAAAATGGGATGAAATGGATTAGGAGAGAGAAAGGGATATCACAAGTAGTATAAAAAGTATAAAATAAAAATAAAAATTAATATAGTAGGTCAGCTTGAAAGGCTTTAAGGCCGAACTTTTGAATTGGAGCCTGAGGCCTTTTTATTAAACGAGCTTTTATACAAGTCCAAGCCTGGTTCCAACAATCAATTTTAGACATGTAAGCTCAGGCCTTCATGAGCAGAGCCAAAGGCTTCAATAAGGTCCCTACAAGGCCCTTGGCTCGTTTAGCACCCCTAACCACTATGTCTCACAAATTAGCACATAAAACGCAATTCAAATAAAATTGGAGCTGGTGCAAGATGTGCCATGTTGTATCACAAGTGGACACTTAAAGCGCCGTGTTAATTGGTGCTGTGTAATTAATTGGAGCATCTAACATCGTACGCGTGTATAAAAAAATATATCAGTAACACGTGTAAGCACTCTAAGGGGACTCAAAAATTTTATATGATGACAATATACTTAGTAAGATTTTATCTGAAAATCAATGATTCCTTAGTTAGGATTTTTATATTTACATAGTGATTAAGTTAGCATATTATCTATGGGGTTTGTTTTCCTCGTGTTGTAGGAAAACAGTACCCCTTTCCTACACACACAAACATAGAGAGGAGAGAGAAAAGAGTGGTGAGAGAAAATAAAAAAGTTGGACCCATGTGTTTTTATGTGCCTGTAGGAAAATGGTACTATGTTCCTACAACATGATACTTGTTTTTCCCATTATCTATACATATAAATAACCATCTGACAATGGAAAAGAAAAAAATAGTAAGAGGAAGAGAGGAAACGAGAGAGAGGGAGAAGGAAACAAAGAGCAAAAGGGAATAAAAAACAGAGAACAGAGAAAGGAGAATTTGAGAAAAAAGAAAAGAAAGGAAGAAAGAGAGTGACAGAATAAGGAAAACAAAGGAAACAGAGAGCTAGAATTCAAGAGAAAAGAGAGTAAACCGAGAAGAGAAAAGAGAGGAGCAGAGTAAACAGAAGAACGTGAGGAGAAAAAAAAATAAGAAGATAATATTGAGAGAGAGTAACTCATTCTCTCCTTTTATTTTCTAAAGTATATTTTTAGATATTTTGGAAAGTTATGTTGATGCTGTTTTTATCTATTTAAAGTTGATATTTTAAAGTTAATTTTTTTTAAAGCTGTGAAGGTGCCGTTACTCTGTTAAATTATTTTCTTATGGATTTATTCTTCTCTTTTGTTTTATTTTCTATCTTGGTTATTATGTATTTGTTGAATATGAACATATTGATTATAGGAATGATAAGATTCAATACTACAGAGCTGAAGAATTTCTTTGGTACCAAATAAATATTACTGGATATGTAAACTTTTACCGAATGATTCTAATTTGAATGACCCACAAGGGGATCAGATGGTTATAGGGAAAAGGAAGCCTTATCATGGCTTGAGCTTCTCCACATAGAACCTTTCACATACAGAACCCATAGAATTTGGACGTTCACAGAATTTGAGCATTAGTCATTTCAGTTTAAGACGACACGTTCCTTTATTAATTTGTATGCAGAAACCCACAAAGGTTTGAATATGTTTGTATGTGGACCTATAAAGGTTTGGGTATGTCTGAATGAAGAACCCACAAAGGTTTGAGCTTATCTTTATTATTCATGATATTATTTTCTTATTACAAACATATTTAGAGAATGATATTTTTCACTAAAATAGCTGGATTTGTTATAGTTTGAAAAGCTCAATATTACTATGATTATCTCACATGTGTTTGTTTTTATGCTAACCTTTCTAGAGAATAAACATGTCAGTATGTGTAACTTTGGAGTAGGGTAAAACACTATGATTAAGACTTTGAATGTAAGGAGATTGTAACACCCCGTATATATCTGGTAATGTTGTCATGTTATCGTATTAAGCTGCGCTTAGTTAAAATTGCGGAATATCTTTTTCTTTTCAATTATGATGTCATTAATCATTACCAACTTGATTACTTAATCATTTTCCAAAACATCACCTGTATGCAATTGCAATAAAATAGCTAACTGAAAATACCTCATTAATTAAAATAACATAATGTATGGCTCTAGTCACGAAACTACAACACGTAGACCGGACCAACTAGCAGTTTATACAACTCAATTCAAAAGTACTAGCAACATAGTGGCATGGACAACTCACATGCTCACCCAAATAAGGCAACAAAGCCCAACATAGTCTCCATATCAACAACATAATAATAATGCGGAAAACATAAACAGCATCCAGTCCAGTCATGCTAGCAAATAAGCAGTAAGATCATCAACTAAGCTCTGGCCTCCTACCGCCAGAGGTATCAGTCCCCATATTGCCTGAACCTGAAATAAGCATTCCCCAAACGTGGGGTGAGATCTCTAAACAAGAAATCTCAGTAAGACAGTGAGTCCTCAAGGATCTTCCACCCCAAGCTCACTTACATGTGCAATATAAGTTCAAAAGCAGTTTATCATCATCAGTTCTAAAATAGTGCAATGCAGTAGATAATCATGTCATGTGTGTCAATACTATTCTACTGATCAGAGAAATGCAGGAATATGTCTATTACCCACACAATATGCAAGACGCTACTTGCACCCACCCACGGACTCACCATCTTGTATGACGCGACATACTCAGGCTTACCAACTGAGTGAAAACAACACATACATATTATAAGCCATTGCACATATCAGCTCAAAAGCATTTCAAAATATCCAAAGCATGTAATACATCATGCATATAACCACACCCCCATGGGATATGGTAGAACCACAATATGGCTAAACCGAGGATACGAAAGCTTACCTTGCAAGCTAACAATCCAAGCCAAGAGTCCACAAGCTCAAGTCCAAACACAGCAGAATCACAATCTGATATGGACCAATAATACATCAACAATCATACTCTACAAGTATACAACATAAAGACAACGCCTTTTCATTACGTTTTACGTCTTAAGGCTTCTCACCAAGCCATAAGCCCTTAATCCCATGATCCTGACTTACATTAATTAATTACAGAAGTTCAACTTCCTCAAACTAGGATCCACAAACCCATAGATCAGTTCTGGATGAACAGTACGCTACTGTTCCTCGCAAACCCAGAATATCCGGATATATGTCGGGGGCATATCCGGATATCCAATATCCGGATATCCAAATCCCCATATCCGGATATCCAATACCCGGATATCCAGATCCCCATATCCGGATATCCAATATCTGGATATTTTACGAGTAGATATCCGGATATTTCGCGACAGAATGCAGTTTCTGCATTTCGCGAAGATATCCTTCCAAGGTTCCATTTTTAACACTTAAACACGTTAAAGCATGCATTTTTAATCTATTTTAGGTCCACAACCTAGTTGGTTACTTGTTTAACTCATTAAACATACAAAGACATCATTTTTAACCCATTAAACTCATGATCAAGGTTGGTACAACTTACCAAAGCTCAAAACAGAAAAGCAAAGGCTCTTGGAGCTCACCACACTGCCTCTCCAAGTCTGACTTGAAGGGTACACGAAAATGCTATCAAAGCTTGGCCCTTTCCTCACAAGGAAGCTTCTTGAAGCTTCACAAGCCAAGAACAAGATGGCTCTCACCTAAACCCCAAACTCAGCACTCAAACTGACCTCACACAGTGGCCAACAACTCAGAAGATGCACTCTCACACCCTCACAATGATAGCTCTCAAGTGTTTACCAAGTAAAAGAGGAAGAAACCAAGTGAAAGATGACCACTTGGCTCACAAATGGAGAAGAAGGGGTGGCTAAGGGTGGCTGACTTCAAGCTCAGT